GCTGAGGAAATTGAGGCTCAGAAGGGTGTTTGCAACCTGTCCAGGCACATAGCTAATAAGTAGCAGAGCCCAGATTGGAACCATGTCTGATTCTAATGCAGAGTCAACCTATTTTAAAGGCTTTCTTAATGTCCATGCTAATATCAATTTCTAAATTAACTTTCTTTCCCAAGAGATACCTTCGTGAAAAAAGGATTTCATGGTCAAATAATTTGTTGGTGGAGGAAAATATTGCCCATTAAATTTGCCATTAAAAGAATCACAGACATCATTTTTCAAGGCTGTGAGGACTCCTGTATTAATGAAGCATTTTAACTTTGTTAAATCTAGGCTTATTCCTTGATTCCATCGATCACTCAACTTTTCCCCCCCAGTAATTGCTACTAACACTAAGAGGACCTACATTAATAACTTTCTAAAAGATCAGCTTATTATCAACCATTCAAAAGGCCTGGGTGCTACCAACACTACCTGTGGGCAAGCAGTATTTCAGGTGTGAATTTAGCAAAAATTAGAGCCAGAAAGTAGTCTTAAAATAACAGAGAATATATGCCTTTGTTCTTTAGTTCTAAGTTAAAGGACATGATACACTATAAATGCTGTAAAAGTAAGAACCATTTCTAAACTTTGAGACATACAGTGCAATCCACTATCAAAAATATATGTTTGATACACATTTATTTCTCAAGTCAGTTTAACCATAAACAATGGTTATAAGAAAACTGAACAAGTTAAGTCTACTTTTCTTCTCAGTAAGCAGCACAGCACTGGGGTATTCTGCTGCAGAAAGATCATTTGAAAAACCTGCTTTATGATTAAGGGACTTCTCAACATCATCACTCAATCACTTGGCCAATATCCCATATAGAGGCATATTTTCTTAAAGGGCCACATGCAAACCAATGATATACTAGAGAGTCTTTAAATGTATTTGAAAATAAATTATCTTGCAAATGGAAAGAATAATTATTTTCTATGGTAATTTTCTAACAAATCAATTCTCTTTCTGTTTTCTCCCTCTTTTCTATTCGTTTATTCACCTATTTTTATTCATCCAAATTCTTTATTTCAGAACTATATAGTAAAGGAATATCAAGAGCTGACCAGAATGGGTAGAAATGGATAAGGGTCATTTACATCTTCTTTAGTGCAACAAAAGCACTAGGACATTTGGACAACCTCAAATATAATCCCTCATATAGATGCATATTAATTCGACAGATTCTGCTCACCTCCTCCCCACTAGAATGAAACAGAAAAAATCCAAGAATCTCTATTACAGCACATTTCAGTCAAGTCTTTTAGATAATTATTTCATATTGGTAGTACATTGTATTCTTGGCTCCATTAATCTTCCTTGAGTAACTGCTTGTGATGAAAAGTCCAAAACAATTTTGAACAATTCAGTTTTCCTCTAAACATTTAGTTCTTGCTTGCATGAGTGCCTAAATATACATACCCACCTGCCCAGCACCACAACTCCCATACACACATTTGCCAAATTATTTCTCTTTCCAAAAACTGACTTCCTTTGGTAAGAAAATTTGAAAACCCAGCAGCCAGACAAAGTCTGAAAACAACTAAACTACTTGTAAACTACTAAATGATAGTGAACTTGGATTTAATCCTACGGTTTGCACTCTACTCTCATCCTTAAACCTTGAAATTTCACCTTGCTATAACTGATGTAACTTTGTACATCAGAAAGAGACACCTAGCCTATTGTAAACTGCCACCCTTGAGTTGCTTTCATAGTGGCAATTTTTACTAATAGTCAACTTGTATTGTTGGAGCAAATAAATGATAACAGCAGCTAAGGTTGAAATTTCATAAATGGCCTTTCACTTTCTTCCTTGAATTAGCCTAAGTGGTATCCTTTCACCTGTTCCACAGTATTGAGGAAATAATGGTATTTTACCTTTGTGATGTGCTTTGCAATTTGCCAAGCACTCTCTCATATATTATCTTATTGTTGCTTATCACACACACACACACACACACACACACACACACACACACACACACCTGTCAAAGCATGAAAAGCAGATGTTATTCCCAGTTTTACCAAGGAGGCAACTAAGGTTAAAGGAGGGTAAGTGGGTTGGGCACAGTGGCTCACGCCTGTAATCCCAGCACTTTGGGAGGCCGAGGTTGGGCGGATCACGAGGTCAGGAGATCGAGACCATCCTGGCTAACATGGTGAAACCCCATCTCTACTAAAAAAAAATACAAAAAAAAAAAAAAAAAATTAGCCGGGTGTGGTGGCGGGTGCCTGTAGTCCCAGCTACTCGGGACGCTGAGGTAGGAGAATGATGTCAACCTGGGAGGTGGAGCTTGCAGTGAGCCGAGATCGTGCCACTGCACTCCAGCCTGGGTAAGTGATTTGCCCAGGGTTATGTACCAGTAGAGAAAAGGGATAAGACAGACAAGACACCCAGATTCTCATTCGGTTCTTTTCCCATTACCACACTACATCTAAAGAGTTAACTGGCTAGCCATATGCACAAAACTGAAACTGGACCGCTTCCTTACACCTTATACAAAAATTAACTCAAGATGAATTAAAGATTTAAATGTAAGACCTAAAACCATAAAAACCCTAAAAGAAAACGTAGGCAATACCATACAGGACATAGGGATGGGCAAAGACTTCATGACTAAAACACGAAAAGCAATGGCAACAAAAGCCAAAATTGACAAATGGGATCTAATTAAACTAAAGAGCTTCTGCACAGCAATAGAAACTATCATCAGAGTGAACAGCAACCTACAGAATGGGAGAAAATTTTTGCAATCTATTCATCTGACAAAGGGTTATATCCAGAATCTACAAGGAACTTAAATTTACAAGAAAAAAAAGACCCCATCAAAAAGTGGGCAAAGGATATGAACAGCCCATTCTCAAAAGAAGACATTTATGCAGCCAACAAACATGAAAAAAAGCTCATCATCACTAGTCATTAGAGAAATGCAAATCAAAACCACAATGAGATACCATCTCACACCAGTTAGAATGGCCATCATTAGAAAGTCAGGAAACAACAGATACTGGAGAGAATGTGGAGAAATAGGAATTCTTTTACACTGTTGGTGGGAGTGTAAATTAGTTCAACCATTGTGGAAGACACTGTGGTGATTCCTCAAGGATCTAGAACCAGAAATACCATTTGACCCAGCAATACCATTACTGGGTATACACCCAAAGGAATATAAATTATTCTACTAAACAAAGATGTGTCTAAAAACACACATAGACACATATGTTTATTGCAGCACTATTCACAACAGCAAAGGCTTGGAGCCAACCTAAATGCCCATCAATGATAGACTGGATAAAGAAAATGTGGCACATATACACCATGGAATACTATGCAGCCATAAAAACAGGATGAGTTCCTGTCCTTTGCAGGGACATGGATGAAGCTGGAAACCATCATTCTCAGCAAACTAACACAAGAACAGAAAACCAAACACTGCATTTTCTCACTTATAAGTGGGAGTTGAATAATGAGAACACATGGACACAGGGAGGGGAACACCACACACCAGGTACTCTTGGGAGGTTGGGGGCTAAGGGAGGGATAGCATTAGGAAAAATACCTAATGTAGGTGATGGTTTGATGGGTGCAGCAAACCACCATGGCACATGTATACCTATGTAACAAACCTACATGTTCTGCGCATGTATCCTAGAACTTAATTTTTTTTTTAATACTGAGTCTCACTCTGTCGCCCAGGCTGGAGCGCAGTGGTGCGATCTCGGCTCACTGCAAGCTCCGCCCCCTGTGTTCACGCCATTCTCCTGCCTCAGCCTCCTGACTAGCTGGGACTACAGGCACCCGCCACCACACCTGTGGCTGATGTTTTGTATTTTTTGGTAGGGATGGGGTTTCACAGTGTTAGCCAGGATGGTTTTGATCTCCTGACCTCGTGATCCACCCACCTCAGCCTCCCAGAAACTTAAGTATAATTCAAAAAAAAAAAAAAAAAAAAAAGAAAGAAAGAAAAGAAAGAGTTAAGATGTAAGCTGATTAAATAAAAAACAAAACTGAACTGTATTTCTTGAATGAAGACTCTTGGTATCCAGTCAAGTTACTTGAATTTTTGTGTACTAACTAAATACTGCTTCTAATTTGGAAAATACATCTTCAGTTATTTGTATCATGAACTACAAAAATCCCTAAGAACTATAGCCATGTAGCAAGGTTTGAAAGTTAAACATAAAGTAATAAACCTGAGAGAGAAATGTATAGAGGTTGGGCAAGTTGAATTCTTTTTCTAGTTTTGTCACTGACTTACCGTGTTTCCTCTCTGGGTGCTGACTCTTATCTGTCAAGTAAGAACAGTAATACATACTTTGCTAACTTCCCACGGCTTTTTGTAGAACTCAGCAAAACAATTTGTGTTGTAGCTAAAAACAATGTCTCCATACAAATAAAGGGCCAGCAGTTGATTTACTCGACTGTTTTAACATTAATTTATTTATTTTAGAGACAAAGTCTCACTCTGTCGCCAAGTTTGGAGTGCAGTGGCATGATCTCGGCTCACTGCAACCTCTGCCTCCCAGGTTCAAGCACTTCTCCTGTCTCAGCCTCCCAAGTGGCTGGGATTACAGGTGCCTGCCACCACACCTGGCTACGCTTTGTATTTTTAGTAGAGACAGGGTTTCACCATGTTGGCCAGGCTGGTCTTGAACTCCTGACATCAAGTGATCCTCCCATCTCAGCCTCCCAAAGTGCTGGAATTACAGGGATGAACTACTGCACCTGGACAGCATTTTTAAATTGTGTGTTGTATTTCTGGTAAAATGAATAAAGTTCTGAAAATGCAATTACATAACTTTATGTTCCTTCCTGACGTACTAATGACTACCCTCATCTATTCTATGATTTTGCTTCTACATTTGTTTCTCATGAAGTTGTCATGGAGGGTGAGATGTACACTCAACAAAATATTTAATGGTTCATTTTTAGTGTGATAAGAATGAATCAGGTCGCTAGAACTTACCATGTATTTAAAAACTAATAATAAATCAGGAATCAAAAGTTTGTCATGTTTCAATCCAAACAGATTTTGTTACAAATTAGTCTCTTTCAACTGAAAACAGAAACAAAGCTAGGAGTATATTCTGTGCAGTTTTGGCAATTAGCTTTTTAGTAATACAAGTAGAACAATGAGTCAATGAAACTATCTTCTCATTCATACTAGTTCAATGTCATAGTTAAAAGCTGGCAAGATTCCAGAAAGGTAAAATAACTTTATATACGGATTACAAAAGACTGTTAGTGAGATAACTCATTTTTATTATAATACCAATTGTTAAGCTCTAGTTAGATGCAAAAAGCACTGTTCAACTTTCAGATGCTTAGCCTGGAGAGCTTGGGGTGTATGCCATTTGAGAAAACTTAGAGGTAATTTGATACATAGCAGTTTTACAAATCTTGAGACTTTTCAAGGGTAGAAATGGTAAATGTGGAATTATAAGTTTGTTAAGGAAGTTACAGAACAGGATGTTGACATCATGGTGTCTACTTTCCTTTTTATTATTTTAAGCCATATTTACAGCTATTTTAAATTTTATTTATTTCCTTTAATTTTACTTAATTTACTTTGCAGAATATTTTTGAGAATAAATATTGTCTCTTAACCTAGAATTTGAGTATTGAGACTCAGGTAGATTTAAAAAAAAATAAATTGGTTATCATGTAGTTAGCAATTAGCACAACTAGGAGTTGAATTGCAGTATCTTCAAAGCCCACACTCTTTCTACTATTCTACACTGTATCCTTTTATAGCTTTTCACCTCATAATTCTACCTCTTGTGATATACTGAGATGAAATAATGTATCAGAAGAAAACAAACAGTGGGGTGTGGGGGAGGGGAGGGAAGGAAGGAATTCAAGTGCTCTACGATAAGGGACATTTAAACAAATTACAGTACATCACTTAATGGACTATTATACACATTATAAAAAAAATAAGATTTCCCATTAAACGAAGGTTGAACTTGTGTAGTTTATCTATACTTCCTTCCAAACCACTATAAACCAAGAAAAAAAATAATATTAAGAATAAGCTATAAAGAGAATATGAATAAAAATAATATCACATGAGGGATGTCAACAAATTTTTGGAAAGTAGAAAGCTCACCACATTGTGATAATGAATGTAAAGAGCAGAGGCAACTGCAACCAAAGACACGGCAGACAGGGACACCAAAGAAAAGCAAACTGACCCTTCCAAGAAATGCCTAAAGGCTTGGGGCATACGGTAACTGTGGGAAGCAAGGGTGGGATGGAGCTTGAATGAAAGGCTGTGTAAGGGACATCAGTGGTTTCTAGGCTTACCCTTCCTCCTTCTTGGAAAAACACTGTGACCCTGTGGCCATGTAATTCAGAGGAAGGTATGGGCAGAGAATCTAAAAAACACATGAAGTAAGACAGGAAATTAGGTGAAGCAACTTAGAGAGCATTTGGCCCAAACTGGAGCAGAAGGGAGGTGACTATTAAATGTTTTTTAAATGGCCTCAAGGGCAGTTTAGGGACACAAAAAAGATTAGAGAGTAGTCTATCTTTTAAAATGTTTAATTTACTAAAGTTACAAATTCAAACTCTGTGAGCATTTAAGGTCAACTTAAAGATAACATTTTCTATTTGTAAATCCAGCAAATTTTAGTAGCCTTTTGAAGGATCTCTTGATTGATGTTCAGTCCCATTTTCTTGATGAGTTCATGATACCCGTTTAAGCACTTTAAACTGCATCATTCCTAGGTGCTCATGGAATTCTTATAACGCTAAAATAAATTTGATTTGAATTTTAAATCAAATTAAATCAATTACATGTCTTAAAATTGGAATTGCAAGGCTGATCTGTTAGCTACAGTTGGCTAAATTTTTAAAAATATTATAATTAGGCGAGATGCAGTGGCTTACACCTGTAATCCCAACCCTTTGGGAGGCCGAGATGAGCAGATCACTTGAGGTCAGGAGCTCAAGACTAGCCTGGCCAACATGGTGAAACCCTGTCGCTACTAAAAATATAACCAAAAATATTAGCTGGGCACAGTGGCATGTGCCTGTAGTCCCAGCTACTTGGGAGGCTGAGGCAGGAGAATCACTTGAACCCGGGAGGTGGAGGTTGCAGTGAGCCAAGATCGTGCCAGCCTGGGTAAGACAGCAAGACTCTTACTCGAAAATAATAAATAAATAAATAAATAAATAGTTACATAAAAATACAAAAATGCAGTAACTCTTCAATGCAAGAAATATTATTACTTTAGCTTGATTCCCTTAAATATTGCTCTATTTAATTCTCAAGCTTCCCATTGTTAGAAGATAAACAACTCTTTCCCACTAAGGAATAAATTATGTTACCCACCACCACCACTACCAAAATTTTGAAGCTACCATTTCATGCCATTATAGCAGCAACCTTTTCAGCTCAAAGTTTCTTTTCTTTTCTTTTTTTTTTTTTTTTAACTTATATTTTAGGCTCAGGGTGTACAAATGCAAGTTTGTTATATAGGTAAATTACATGTTATGGGAGTTTGATGTAGAGATTATTTCATCACCCAGGTAATAAGCATAGGTAAACTTTCAATCCTCACTCTCCTCACTCTCTCCACCTTTACGTAGGCCCTAGTGTCTATTGTAATTCTTTGTGTCTGTGTGGACTCAATGTTCAGCTCCTACTTCCAAGTGAGAACATGTGGTATTTGGTTTTCTGTTTCTGTGTTAGTTTGCTTAGGATAATGGCCTTCAGCTGCATCCATGTTGCTATTAATACAGAGCATATCATCTCATTCTTTTTTGGGCTTGGTGGTATCCCATGGTGCATATGTACTATATTTTCTTTATCCAGTCTACCATTGATGGACAGTTAAGTTGATTCCATGTGTTTGCTATTGTGAATAGTGCTGCAATGAACATACGCATGCATGTGTTTTTATGGTAGAATGATTTATATTCCTCTGGGTATATACCCAGTAATGGGATTGCTGGGTAGAATGGTAGTTCTGTTTTAAGTTCTTTGAGAAATTGCCAAACTGCCTTCCACAATGGTTGAACTAATTTACATTCCCACCAACAGTGCATAAGTGTTGTCTTTTCTCTGCAACCCTGCCAGCATGTTATTTTTTTACTTTTTAATAACAGCTATTCTGACTGGTGTGAGATGGTATCTTGTTTTGGTTTTAATTTGCATTTCTCTGATTAGTAATGTTTAACATTTCTTTATATGCTTGTTGGCCACATATATGTCTTCTTTGGAAAGTGTTCATGTCCTTTGCCCACTTTTTAATGGGGTTATTTTTTGCTTATTTAAGTTCCTTATAGATTCTGGATATTACACCTTTGTCAGATGCATAGTTTGCAAATATTTTCTCCCACTTTGTAGGTTGTCTGTTTAATCTATTGATAGTTTCTTTTGCTGTACAGAAGCTCTTTAATTAGGTCCCATTTGTCAGTTTTTGTTTTTGTTGCAATTGCTTTGGCCTGAGCAGGGACTGGATTCATGTTCTTACTGAGAGCATTGTTTATAGTTGCTATAGATTCTGGATATTACACTTTTGTCAGATGCATAGTTTGCAAATATTTTCTCCCACTTTGTAGGTTGTCTGTTTAATCTATTGATAGTTTCTTTTGCTGTACAGAAGCTCTTTAGTTTAATTAGGTCCCATTTGTCAGTTTTTGTTTTTGTTGCAATTGCTTTGGCCTGAGCAGGGACTGGATTCATGTTCTTACTGAGAGCATTGTTTATAGTTGCTATGTTAAGCATTCTATGACCCAAAAAAGGAGGTTGTTGTGTAGCATGAATGCCTTAGATTCAAAATATACCTCATCTAATTCTTCTGCCTACTCATAGAAATCTTCAAGTTTGCCACCTCTATCTAATTGGCTATATGCCTTACTGGATTTTGAATTTTTTGGTTCTTTTAAAAATATAAATGTCTCCCTGCCTAACATTAGAAACTGAATTTTATGAATCCTTCATTCATTTTATTTTTTTTCAGTGGTTCTGTGTAGGACCACACAACTCTTAAGAATAGTAATATGACATTGATTGATTTCTGAGAATCTACCATTGTTTTTTCCTACTTTTTGGGGCCCAACTTCTATTAACAAGCAACAGGAGGAAATATTCAGGGAGAAAAAAATGTAACTGGTTATCTATAATGTTGAAAATAATATTGAGCTCTACTTTACATATTCATTGAAGACTCTAAAGAATCTGAAATATGCACACAATGAAAACCAAATAAATAATTCCAAGCAGAAACAAATATGGTACAAGAAGTGACCATAATATACTATTTGGCTCAGCAATAACAATATTTACATAGTCATTAATACTATAAGAATTGATTAATGACTTAACAATATTAAATTATTGAAGGAAAAAGATGAATAGTAGAGTTTAGAAGGTTAATTTCTTACTTACCAAAACAATAAGTCAATAAATAATATCTAAAATCGGTAAATCAAAATATAGATGTATAACATTATTATATAGAAACATGGCAGCAAATATCTGAAGAAAAAGTTAGTACTGTTAAAAGGAGATCCTTTTAGAAAATTGGACTTGAGGTAGGTGTGGGTATAGGTCAAGGGAAAAAAACAGGCAAGGAACCAAAGCACTTTTGACGTATTTTGGTACGTCACTTAATTCTCAAGCTTCCCATTGTTAGAAGATAAACAACTCTTTCCCATTAAGGAATAAATTATGTTACCCACCACTACCAGCACCAAAATTTTGAAGCTACCATTTCATGTCATTATAGCGGCCACTTTTTCAGCTCGAAGTTTCTTTCCTTATTTTTTAACTTTTATTTTGGGTTCAGGGGTACAAATGCAAGTTTGTTATATAGGTAAATTATATTTGACCTTCTAGATTATATGTATATATTACTCTAATAAAAAATTTTAAAATTTTTAGAAAAATGCCAACATTTTAAAGTGATATTTATGAACATTATAAATACTTTGTAACATGGGAAATACTGTCCCATATAAAGAATTTAGGAAAGACAAATGTTTTATGATACAATGATTGCAACTACATTAACATGCCTAAGGGTAATGGAAATAAATAACTAAAAGGGATAATGGAAAAATGAAAACAGTTTTACTTGGGAAATGAGATTACAGATGACTGAAAACATTTTTAACTTTACAATATTAGCTTAACATCACTTTATTTCACAAAGCTTTTATAACATATACAATAACATTTTAGAATACACACTTCCTGTGGGATTCTATTAGCATTTTATGAAAAATCTAAGAGAGTCTATTAAATAGCATCCTCATTTCCAGCCATTTATACTCCAATATTATGAAATCCTTTAAGTTCCCTAAATTAAAACCTCCCATTCAAGGCCAGCCCAGGCACACGTATGAAGTCATCATTGAATGCCTAACTTTGCTTTTAAAAACATCTTCCTACCCCCATGTCTTATTCTGTTCCCTATATGCCAGAATAACATACCACCATCTAGTTCCTCAGGCAAGCACTCTCCTAGAATGCCAACTGTTTCCTGTAGTTTACAGCTTGTTTTAAATTGTGAGATTTGTCTTCAGTGTGGTTTTCTATTGTGGGAGTCATGTGTGTGTCCTGGATTGTGAAAGTGTCTTCATGGTATGTTTTGGCATTTTATTTCTTTTATGGACCTATGGGGCTTATCAACATAATGAGAGGGCATGAGATTTTATATTTGTGGTCCAGTCAGGACAGACCCTTTCCCGTTCCCTCCTTTGTGGATGGAGCCCACTTCCAGCAATCTCTCATGCATATAGTCTACAACCTAAACCCCTGTTTATCTCTTCCCCTAGCTGTAATTTATGTTGACCAAACAAACAAAACTAAAACCAAAGCCAAAACCAAAGGTTAAGGTACCTTTCATATCCCTTGGACAGGAAGACTTCAAGCTTGATTTAGCTGTTGATTCCTTTTACATTCAGATAACTAGTTTTAATTCTTGCTTTTTCACCTGTAACATATATTTCCAAAATAAATATTTTATCTAGATTTCCAAGTGTTTGTAATGGAACAGTTAATTAGGTGGGTTATTTTGCTGTGAAATTTATGACTGCTTTTGAGCACTTTGGTTCCTCATTAGAAAGTAAATTCCCTGGAAACAGGATTTTTCATATTTGTATCATCAGGGCTTAGTGTAGTAACTGGTTTACAACTGACATTCAGCACACATTTAGAGAAGGAATGTCTGTTTTCAGGTCACTGTGAGAAGTGCATATGATTAGCTAGGGGGTTAATGGCCAGATTAATAAAGCCAGCCTTCAAAGGGCATTTGCATTTTAGAAGGGGCTACCTATACGTTTACCTGGGAATTCTCTTTGCTTTCTCAATGATATTTTTAAGGGAGAATCTCCAAGGCTAACATTTCAAACACTAGATCTAGTAAGTAGGTGAGAGTTTTTGAGCAGATAAATTCCTCCCAAATTCCCACACCATACTTAGCAACCAACTTTTCTATGTATATGGTAGCTTCCTGGTTTCACCCAGTAACATGAGGTCATCTGATCCCTATGGTCACACTAGTTTTCTAGGGACATTTTTTTTTTGAGGGGGGAGTGGTCAAAATGAGTTATAATAAACTGTTAAAATGAGTATAAGGTCTATTCTTTCTCATAGGGCAAGTAATGTTTTTATTTGTGGTTACAGCATTGGTCAGAATAGAGGGCAGAAAGCAATAAGGAATGAAATATTCTTAGAATCACAACATTATGGACTGTAAGAGATAGGTCAGAACCCAGATCTCATTTTACAGATTAGTTTTACAGATGACAGTTTAAACAACCACTCAGACAAGGGTAATAACGCATATACAGTGGGAACACGAAACACATCCTATACACTCAGATTTCCCCTCATGGCCATCTACCTTTACAGTCTAGAAGACTACAGAACCTCTAAATATGTATACTGGCTGTATGTAATTTTTTTCTAGCAGCAGAAATATTTCTATAACTGCATTTCATTTTATTTAGGCTAATACAAAAAAAGTTTGCATTCACAATATCAAACAAAATCCAGAACTAAATGTATTCTGGATAATAACAAAAAGCTATTATGCAAATAAATTGTCTCATGCTGATAATTCTCAAAATTATTATTATAAGTATCATAATATTAACTGTATTAACCAAGTCAATTCCTCAAAAGAGCATCTGGGGAACAACAGAGTGTGATAATGGGAATCAGTACTAACTTTTAAGGTATATTATTTACCTAAATAATTGTTCAAAAAACACTTGTTGACTGTGAAAGAAAAGGGAGCTAGGAATAGTAGAGGGAATGGTAAAGATTTTAGGGTCTCACAGATATGTAGTGGTAGAGCTGAGATTAATACCCAGGTCTCCTTTTTCCCAACTCCTTATTCTATCCATTAGAGCAGACTACTTTGCTCTTTTCTGAAGAGGCTTCTCAAAAAATGTAGAGAAAAATCATCATAACCTCACGGTTAAATATAAATATTTTCACAAGCATAAGCTTCATTGTCAAAAATGGAATTAAAGCATCTATTCAATGCTCTATCCTCTTGCCCAGCCTGTGGAAAGCATATGGTAAGATTTTCAGCCACATGATTCCAAACTAGACATTTATCACTTCTTACTGGAGTTCTGAAATTACTCCATGCTTTCCTTGAGTTGTGAATCGATCAGTTTTCACTTTGAAAAGAAATTGCATTTTCCACTGGTGAAGTCAACTCTATTTGCTTCCTATATGAGTGTGGCTCATTGATTCTCTCTTTGTGGGTTTTACATCTATTTCACTGAGGAGGCAGGTGTGGCAATGGGACTTTCAAAAAGACTTCTGGATGACCAGTGAAGAATCAGTTATACAAAATTGTGGTAGTTAATAACACTTGGGACTCCTAGGTCTCATTTTATTGTCATGACTTTTGAGTACAGACATTATAGGACAAATCAGCCTTTCTATGTGGCATGAAAAAAAGTCTTAATGATCTGACTTCCAATTTATTCCCCGCACATTGGTGAGGCTGCTTTTTGATAACAGTAGAGCCTGTGTTCTTTTGTTCTCTGTCTCACCCCTCCTCTGCTTTCTCTTTTCTCCTCATTTTTCCTTCATTCATCCATCCACCCACCTACCCACCTTTATCATCAGGCTTTCTATTCAGCATTTATTAACTTAAGACAAATCTATGGCTCTTAAAAGCAGCAAAATACTTTCCGGAGGCATATTCATTTTTTCTTAAAAAAAAATCCTTCCATGTATCAAGTACTCCTGAAGCACTACATGTAGAATGACAAAAGAGACTGCTTTCCTTGTCAAGTTACATCTTTCTAACTGCTTTAAAATGGGTATCTAAACTGTACATCCACTATCCTACCTGGGTCACAAAATGGTGCCACTCATACCACACAATGTAAGATAGATGGGTGGGAGGGTATCCTTGATTTTGTTTAAATACTTTATTTATTTTTTTAAACACTGCTTTGGGAAGAACTGAATTCTCTTATTTTAAAGATTTTTAAAAGGGGAAGATGCTACAATAACCTTTATTTTTTTGGTTGGTGGGGGGTGCCTGTTAGATTGTTACTAGGCAGGCTGTTTCCCTGGCAACAGGAGCAGCCATAAAAGAGCATTAGGAGTTATCTCGAACATCTTTGACTATAAAAATGCTGAAGAGGCCTGGTTGACATCTGGACTATATACAACTCTATTACAACAAAAGAAAACAAATAGTCCTTCAAATTCAGTCTTCATTTTATAGTTTACCAAATATTATTTCATTTGATTCTGACAACACTACTGTAGGCAGGACAGATATTAACTTCATTTTTAAAATATAATTGAGATGGGCAGTCTAGAGAGAGGCAGGCTTCTTTTGTTCTTCTTCCTCCTCCTCTTCCTTCTTGTCAAAGAATATTAGTAGTGATATCCAGTTTGCAAATGAAGGAGAAATCAGGTCTTAATTTAAAAAATTATCATCAAATATGAAAAGAAACATAAACTATCTTCAACAGAACTAGAAGACACTTTAACCTCAACCGCACAATAGGAGATAGAGCTGCCAGGTGCACTAAAAGTCAGATAGCCCCATATTGCAGCCAAAGTCATTAGACCAAAATACTCCAAAATAGATGACATAATCTGAGACACGGAAACAACAACAACAACAACAACAACAACAACTAGTTCCTTCTCTAAAACAATGGAAATGGGATGAGTGTCAGTAGTAGGGGATTTCCTTGATTCTGTCTGGTACAGTGGCAGGAGGGGCAAAGCCAAAGAAGAAAATACATACATGTCACATTAACAAGCAGTAGTCTGTAGACGTGGCAGACAGGAGAAAAGAAACTCCAAAGAGAGTAACCCTGTAGTTGCCAATCTTTGTTGACTGGAGAGAGTAAAAGGCTACAACAGCTCTCTCAGACCCACAATCCTATCATAAGGAGAGTCACTGTCACCTTGGTAGGATTGTGTGAGCTTAAAATGCCAACCTACGGCCAGGCACGATGGCTCATGCCTGTAATCCCAGCACTTTGGGAGGCTGAGGCGGGCAGATCATGAGGTCAGGAGTTTGAGACCAGTCTGGCCAACATGGTGAAACCCCGTCTCTACTAAAAATGCAAACATTAGCCAGGCGTAGTAGTGGGCACCTGTAATCCCAGCTACTCGGGAGGCTGAGGGAGAAGAATCGCTTTAAACCGGAAGGTGGAGGTTGCAGTGAGCTGAGATCATGCCACTGCACTCCAGCTTAGGCAACAAGAGTGAAACTCTGTCTCAAAAAAAAAAAAAAAAAAAAAAAAAGCCAACCTACCTACCATATGAAACTGCATTAAAACAAAAACAAAAACAAAACAAAAGCAAACAAACAAAAAAAAAGAAATTGTATCAAATAGATGAGCCAGAAAGAAACTTACCTCATATAAAGATAAGTAATACTTGAGAATAAATCTGCACAGTGTTCATGCACAAACACTTCAAGAAAAGGAGAAACGGAACAAGCAGAAACAATTAGCAGATAAAACCACTCAACAGGAAAGAATGAATCAACTGAGCACATGAAAAATGTCACCAAATATATTGTCATAACTCAAAGAACTTAAGGAAATAGAGTTCATAAAGAAATGTAGTTGATCAGAAACATAGCAAAACAACCAAAGGAAATGCAACATAAGCTAACAAAGTTCAGAAAAGAAATGAAAAGGAAAAAATAATCAACTAAAACTGTGCAGCAGAGGAAAAAATACACTAATTGGAGATATATATATACACACACACACTTTATATATATACTATATATATACTTTATATATATATACTTTTAAAGTATATACACACACACACACACACACACACATATATATATATATATACTTTAAAATATAATTCAAAATTATAGTGAAGGAAAAAACCACTAACAGAGCAAGCGAACTACAGCAAATGTGAATAATATAATGCAAGTGTAGTGTACAGTGTACATTGCTGATTATGTGTCCATTATCCATGCCTTCATTATCCAAGATGATTTTGGTCATATATCCTTCTTTTCCATAGAATCACGTGCTTTAGGGCAGTGGTTCTTAACTAGGGCCAATTCTTCTCTCACAAAGGACATTTAGTACTGTCTGGAGACATTTTTGACTGCCACAGTTAGGAGGGGATGCTGCTGGCATTTAGGGCAAGGAGATATGTTCCAGGCCAAAGTCTGATCTGTGATCTTTCAGGCCTGACCATAAGCAATTACAAAGGCTTTGCTTGACAGACTTCATAGGGGAAAGGTGCCCTTCCCACATGAGATTTAAACACAGCCAGTCTCTGGAGGGAGTTGTACCTGGTGCTTAGGTCCCCCTGAGCTGGCCATGTCTATAAACCTAGCTGCATTCCTAGACCAGGTACCTCCATACTGAGTCTTCCTTATCAGGGGGCCTTGGTTGAGACACTTTTCAGGTGCCTCTACAGAGACCTCCCTATTGGTGGGCCTTGACTGAGACACTCATCTCCACTCTAACTCAGTTCTTTTCTACTCCTAGCCCTTCCCTGCTCCCTTTCTGCAGTCCTCAAGGTTCATAAGATGGCAGGAACCTTTTGTTCGTTGCTCCTTAGCATTGAAACAATTTCCTCTGCCTGCACTGCATGTCATCTGATTGACCCATGTCCAGTGCTAGTCCACGGTAGGGGTAAAAATGGAACAACAATGAGCTGGCACTACTTTCCTTTTTGGTCTCTTGCTTATAATTTTATCATAGTAAGTGAATAAAGATGTGATTATTATTTTAATTTCAGCTCATTACCTTAACTGACTCTCAACACTTCACAGCTAGGCACAGAGATCCTACCAGACATGCTGCTATGCATAGAACAGCTTCCTATGATGTAGAATTATATGGTCCAAAATGTCAACGGTGCTGAGGCTTTTCGGGAAAACTGATTCCATCATCTGCTCTAGGGTCAGTAAGGTCATGGGAATCTCCTGGAGAATGCTATTTATCTAGGGGTGAGCAGATGATCAAATAAGTTGGCTCAATCCCACTGAAGTAGATCGCTTCATATTAATATTCCAGGATTGGGAGAGAACTTCCCTCAATTTTTATTGTGTTGGACATGAACAAAGAAATACGTAGTCCTCACTGAAACCGACAGCAATCTTGTTAACACAAGAGAAAACAACTTTGGGACACAGTTTATACTATGCCAGAGATGACAGGGAGGTCACTTGGGCTTTTGATGACAATATGGCTAATATAACTGTGGCTGAAGCCAACTCCACCTTTGGACCTTCAGAAATGTGTAATAATAAATTTTCTTAGGATTTAAACTAGTTTCCATTGGAATTTTCCTGCTTGCAGTGGAATTTTCCTGCTTGCAGTATTGTTACACAAAGACAAAAAAATTTTAAAGCCATAAAAAATGCATAATCTAAAAGCAAAGATATATTACATAAAACAGACTACACTAATCTATCAAGTAAAACGGATCTTAAAATTGAATCACAAAGCAAAACCCACTATATACTATATTAAGTAACCTAAAACAAAGTGACACAAATACCAAAAAATAAAAAGATGAATATCAGGCAAATGCAAGCCAAAATAAAGCATAGGTCATAATCTTAATATCTGACAATTTATAGAACAAAAAGTATCCAGTGGACAAAAAGGACATGTTAATAATAATAAGGCAAAACCCATAATGAAAATCTAGCAGTCATGAATTTATATGCATCAGAAAACATAATCACATACTATATAAAAAGTAAAGTAAAAACCATTGATAATAAAAGGAGAAATTGACAGTGATCCTTAAGCAAAAAGATATGTTTTTCTCACAATCCATGACAAGGCATATGAACCAAAAGAAAAGCAGTTTATAAAAATCTCAATGGGATACCATCTCACGCCAGTTAGAATGGCGATCATTGACAAAGTCAGGAAACAACAGATGCTGGAGAGGATTTGGAGAAATAGGAATGCTTCTATTGGTGTGAGTGTAATTTAGTTCAACCATTGTAGAAGACAGTGTGGCAATTCCTCAAGGATCTAGAACTAGAAATACCATTTGACCCAGCGATCCCATTACTGGTTATATACCCAAAGGACTATAAATTATGCTATTATAATGACACACGCACAAGTATGTTTATTGCGGCATTATTCACAATAGCAAAGACTTGGAACCAACCCAAATGCCCATCAATGATAGATTGGATTAAGAAAATGTGGCACATATACACCATGGAATACTATGCAGCCATAAAAAAGGATGAGTTCATGTCCTTTGCAGGGACATGGATGAAGCTGGAAACCATCATTCTCAGCAAACTACCACAAGGGCAGAAAACCAAACACTGCATGTTCTCACTCATAGGAGGGAACTGAACAATGAGAACACTTGAACACAGGGTGGGGAACATCACACACTGGGGCCTGTTGGTGGGTGGGGGAGGTGGGGGAGGGACAGCATTAGGAGAAATACCTAATGTAAATGATGAGTTGATGGGAGCAGCAAACTAACATGGCACATGTATACCTATGTAACAAGCCTGCATGTTGTGCACATGTACCCTAGAACTTAAAATATTAAAAAAAAAAACTCAGCAATAGTTAAGGAGCTATAATTCATATAAATTATATAGTACACAATACTAAATAGATTTTTTACTGTGCTCTGTTCTCTGAAAATAGAAATTAGATCTTCCACAAAAATTGACCTATATAAACAACACTTTACACAGTAATATTTTGGTACCTATGATTATGTACAGAGGGAAACCTGTTTGTACTTGGACTTGTATCACAAATGACTCCTTCAGAAGGAGTGTAAAAATTGGTCCCATGAGCTGGTTGTGGTGGCACGCACCTATAGTACCAGCTACTTAGAAGGCTGAAGCAGAAAGATTTCTTGAGCCCAGGAGTTCAAGGCTGTAGTGAACTAAGACTGTGCCACTGCACTCCAGCCTGGGTGACAGAATGAGAACTTGTCTAAAAAAGAAAAATGTTCCCAATGGCAAGAATTCTGTTGTTTTGATATCTCCTGACACAGGAAAAGAGAATTAGAGAGGGGCTAAACAGAAGAGATCCCAACCCCAACTAAATAAGAATATAGGCAGTCTACAGTGTCCAGATAGTAAGGCAAGGATAAAATGATGTAAAGTTAATAAACACTGTATACTATGTGTAAAGCAAACTCTTATAAACACACAAAGACTGATAAATTTCTACTAAAGTATGAATACAAAACAAAAATGTGAAATCTTGGTTCAAACTGGCAAGGAACTAGTTAACAGTGGATATTTAGGTCAGACAGAATCAACAGAACCCAAAAAGAAGTCCGGATGAAAACAGAAAATTTTTCCTTGGCTAGTGAGTTTTAAGTGGATATTTCTTGAAGCACTTTTAACTTTTCTCTCATAATTGCCATCTATTGCCTTTGTGCTCTATGTTTACACTAAGTACACTGCCACATGTTTTTGTTACTTTACTGTACTCCCTTCAGCCTCTATATCTTGTCTATCATTGACATAAGGTGTTCAGCACACTTTTCTTCTTCACCAAAAATTGCTGTAACACCCCCCACAAATTTGCTAGTATTTGAGAATGGACTATGTAACTCATTTAAACCAGGGCAGCAGAATCTGCCAGCACTAGACTTTAAGGGCTAAGTTAGGTCTGAGCTTATTATATGGCTTTTAAGGGTGAAGGAACTGAATAATATATTATGAAGATTAATATCTCAGGGTGAATAAACAATTCTTCATGCTGGGGTAGTTCACCTCTTTGGGATGCAGGACTGGGCTATAAGAAGAAATATCTTCTAGTATTTAAAACCAAAAATCTCACATCTTCTCAGGACAGAATCAAGTGAGAAACAGATGCTTCAGTCAAACTGCCACTAAATAGTGATAACTATAATATTTTGCTCTGATATAGTAGACTTTTTATTTGTTTTGGAAAATGATTCTAAGATTTTTACAAACAGACTCTCTAGTCTACAGAGCAATACTACTGAGCTGGTGACTACAGTAAAGTAACAGTTCTTGCATAACGATAGAAAAAGTGAGTTGTACTGTACTTTCTAGTTTGGAAAGTAATATATTGCTATGTATATAGCCAATAATAAATTTCATTTAATATGTAAGTAGTAGTTAATAAAAAAATTCCTGATTTTTTCTACTTTGAAAACTAAAAAGAGATAAGAAAATTTTAAAAATTTACCATTTAAGTCTCTTTGATTCTGGAAATATTTTAATTAGGTTCCACTTTAAAAAAAAAGTCGTTTCCTTATTACCTCCACAGTGAGTACATTAACTACATTTTCACAAACAGAAAACTTACATATATTCAACTGTTTACAAGACATGTCTCCATATAACACATTTACATTCATGTGAAGTACATGAACTTCTTTAATTGTATATATTTATAACTCTTACATCTGGTACCTTTTAAAACAGCTAACATATAGTATGCTTATTTCCTATAAGTTAATTCATATATGACTAAAGTGAGAAGAATCTCTTTTGAAGAATTACGATAGTTATATTCATACCATGGGAAATCTATAGTTTTTCTAAACGTAAGTTTCAAGCTAAAGCTTTAGCAATTTAAGTTATTTAACTAGCAATGCATGAAATTCTTATCAGATTATCCCATTTGGATTACCAGTTTAAGTCATTTCAAGTGGTTCACAATTATTTGTGCATTGGTTGGGGGGAAAAGCACCAAGGATAATAAATTTATTTTTCATATCATAGATGAAATCACAGCACAATGATTTCAATATCCCTTCAAAAATCTAATCATTTATAAACAGCATTTATTTCAAATGCTCAATCTTTAAGCTTTCTTAGTGTGATCAACTGATACACTAGGGATAAGAATGGAAATGGTTAAAAACAGATGCTATACATAATATGTACTAACTTAACAGAATTCAGATTTCTCCTAACATTGTTGATTTCCATTTTTGAACTGACTTCTTTAGATCTAAAAAGAACTCTGAAAATAAATGTAACATTTATATATTTGTCAACTATACTTAAAAAGAAACTCTAAAGGTGCCTTTCTTGTCAACATATGAAACAAAAGTTTTCCTGATGAACAAGGCACCTTGTATGGTAAGGAAATATATAAAGAAAATATTTTCTACAAATTAATATATAAATCTATGTGCACAAAGGTGTAGTTCTCCCAGCTGCATATGTAATATTTTAAATAACATATAATAAAAAAAATTCAAAACACAGATTGAAAATTAGCCCATGTGGCTAATATTCCAGTTGTTAAATATTGCAGCATATATGTCACTGTAACAATTGGGAAAGATATTCTAATCTAAACGGTTAATGAAATCTCTCTGGAAAGATACTTTAAAAGTCCCCAGTATGTAACCCTGGCTATCAAATTTCAACCTAGAAGTTTTTACAGCTAAGATGCAATCCCATGAATATAAAAGTGTGCACAAAGGCCATCTAATCAGACTCTGCAGTACATAGCATTACTGGTGTGACTTTGGTACGAGCCTGCTGGGCTTTTATGTTCCTTTTCATTACTATGTGCACATGGTAAACATCATATTAACAACAATCAATTTTTATCACTATAAGTTTTGCTACTCACAGAATGCCTACAAACATTGTTTTAAACATTTCCAGATCATGACAAAAGTTCCTTACCTGAATATAAACAAAGAAACCCTTAGATTTAAAAACATTTTTAAGTGAACACATAAATGCATAAGGAGAAACATAAGAACATACTATTTTTATAAGTATAAAAAGTTCCAGCTTCTGCTAAGATTTCATTTCTTTTTCCCAGTGTTTTTTTTGTGTTCATGCGTTTCTGTTTTGCTAGTTATACTCTTTTTCCGAGATGAGGTATTAGGAACAACTGCACTAGAAGGTCCACTTGCAGCTACACAAAACAAAAACAAAAACAAAAAACTATTGCTTAAGTTTACACAAACAATCCAAGTTCAAATAATACTGCTGATTGACAAAACAATTCTTGTTATAACTGTGATGTAAATGAAATGTAAAAATTTAATATAGCATTTTTAACCTTTTACTTTTCAGAATTCAACACAAATATAGAAAGGTAATGACAATGGACTGTGTTCATAAAATTAATTTCTCATTTTACTCTACATTCTTCCTAGGAAATGAATATATTTTTATAATTTTTAACTACCATTCATTGTGCTAATGATTTTTAAATTTATACTTTTGGCCTGGGCCTTTTCCTTTAGCTCAAGACATGTATATACAACTGCCAATTGAAACTTTCTTTAAAGATATCTGACAAGAAAGACAAACCATGTGCATAAACTGAACTCATCATTTTCCCTACAAGCATCTATTTCCTCCTGTATCTTCTATCTTATCCCACTCTAAAAAGCTAAAAGGTAAGAAAACTAGAAGCACTCTTAACTTAGGAATCATCCTTCCATATCTAAACCAACATGAAGTCTTAATGAATTATCAAAAAACTACTCTAGGCCAGGCAGGGTGATTCATACCTATAATCCCAACACTTTGGAGGGCCAATGTGGGAGGATCGCTTGAGCCCAGAAGTTCAAGACCAGCCCTGGCAACATAGTGAGACCCCCTTCTCTACAAAAAACTTTAAAAATTAGCTGGGTGTGGTGGCACACACTTATAGTCTCAGCTACTCAGGAGGCCAAGGTAAGAAGATTGCTTGAGCCTGGGAGGTTGAGGCTGCAGTAAGCTATGATTGCAACACTGTAGTCCAGCTTGGGTAAGAAAACAAGACGTTGTCTCAAAAGAAAAAAATGATAATAATTAATAAATAAATAAAATAAAAAACCATTCTAGGTGGCATTACTTTACTACATTTCTAATATGGATGAATAGATGTATGGGTAAGCTCCTATCAGACCAATCTTCCTACAGATAACAAATATACACTCTGTACTAAATATGAGGAAGAACTACCTGAAGACACTAAATAGTGAACAAGAGCAGGCCGTTACTAGAGAAGAATCAGTACTTGGAAAAAGGGAACAATATGGAATAAGATTCCCCTTCTTTTTAGCCTGAGGATAGGCCCTAATACGCACCATGTACAATGGCTACAAGTCCAACATAAGAAGCAGAAGACAAGTATTGCGGCAACCACAGCTACTAGAAAGTAAGGTGGAAAATCTCAGAAAGGATGAGCCCACAATTCTATTTGTAAATGATGGTCAAATGTATGGCATGAGCAGAGTAAAGTCCAAGGAGCCCAGCTAAAGCAAAATGAACTGAAATTTTTGCCAGCCACTACATGGAACACCATGTTTTACAATCTGAGCTCAGCTAAGGCTAACTCTTTGTTTAAAAACAAACAAAACAATATTTTTTGGAGGAATATAACAGAAATAACAAAATCCAGAGTTTCTATAACATACCATTCATAATGTCTACAATATAATCCAAAATTAATATACTAAGAAACAGAAAAAGATCTTTCTTGCTGAGAATGCATAAATTGATACAGATCTCTTTGGAGATGAGTCAGATTAACAGACAAGAATTTTAAAGCAACAATTCTAACTATGCTCTAGGACAAAGACACATAAGTTTATAATGAATAAAAAGAGAAAAATCCCTGCAAAAAAACTATTTAAAAGAATCAAACAGAACATCTAAAAGAATAAATACCTGAAATAAAAGGTCTGAAATAAAAACTAGATGGGTTTAACAACAGAATGAAAAGTAAGTAAAAGTAAACATCAACCAAATCAACCAAATCAACATCAACCAAATCAACATCTTTTTTGGAGTATTACCAAAAAAGAAAAAAAAAATAGACATAAATATGCCATAGTCAACCTGCTGAAAATCAAAGATAAAGAGAAAACACTGAAAGCAAGCACAGAAAAACAACCCATTGCATTTATGCGAACAGTAATTCAAATTAACTAAGTCTTCTTATCAGAAACAATGGGAACCAGAAGACAGTAGAATATCATTAAAGTGCTGAAATAAAAAATTTTCTACCCAGAATTCTCTATTTGGCAAAAACTACACTGCAAAAATGAAGGCAAAATAAAGCCATTTTTCAGACACAATAAAATGAATAGAATTTGTTGCCAACAGACCTGCAGATTAAGAAATGCTAAAAAGCTTCAGGCTGAAGGCAAATGAAACCAGATGGAAACACAGACTTCAAGGAAGGAATAAAGAGCAAAAAATGTGGCAAATATATGGATAAATATAGAACCTCTTTCTCCTCTAAGTTTCTTTAAAATACATATGACTGCTTAAAGCAAATATCATAACATTGTATTATAGTGTTTATAATATATGTGGAAGTAACACATAAGGATAACTATGTATAAAGAATGGGAAGAGGGTAAGGTAAATGAATCTATACAGTGGCAAGGTTTCTATATTTTACTTTCAGTGGTGCAAAATTAACCCTAAGTAGATGGTGAAAAATTAGGAATATATATTTAGAGCAACAACAACAACAACAAAAATGCAAAAAGATATAGCAAAAGTCCATAGAAAAAGTTAAATAAAATTCTTAAAAATATTGAATTAGTACAAAATAAGGTAGAGTAGGAAAGAATAAAGGTATAATCATCAAAAGGAATAACAGAAAACATAAAGTAGTAGACTAACCTCAACAGATCAATAATTACATTAAATGTTAATGAACTGTAAACTGCAACTATAAGGCAGATATTGTTAGAATGCCTTAAATAAGAAAGTTTGATGACCTATATCACATCAGATAAAACAAACCTTAAAAACAAAACATTAATGGAAATTAAAGAGAAAAAAAGTCATGATAATAAATGAGTCAATATATTAGGAAGATCCCATAATCAAATATGCATTTAATTATATAACAGAGCTCCAAAACACACAAAGCAAAAATCTGCCAAATGAAAGGGAGAAACAGACAATTCGGCAGTTGTGAGTGTAATTGCTCTCTGTACAATTGATAGAACAACCAATCCCTTCCTTGACCACCTCTCTGCCAAAGAAAAACCAAATAGTAAAGACTCACTATCTGAACATTATCAACAACCTTGACCTCAGGCACAATGATAAAATAGTGTCCATTAGGATCAATGAACTATAAGACAAACATTTGGGTTTTTTTTAGTACACATATTATATTCAAAATATTCCAGATGTTAAGCCATAAAATAAGTCCTACATTTAAAAGACTGAAATGACACGGCGTATGTTTTTATAACTGCAATGGAACTAAATAAGAAATTGATTAAAAACAATAAAAAACCCCTCAATATTTGGAATTTAACCAATATAATTCTAAATATGCAATGGATCAAAGAAGAAATCACACATAAACTAGAAAGTATTTCTAACTGAATGATAATGAAAATACAATATAACATTTGTGAGACGCAACTAAAATGCTTAGAGGGAAACTTAAAGTTTTAAATGTTTGAAATAGATAACAATCAATGACCTAAGAAACTAGAAATAGAGGATAAAAGTAAACCCAAAGAAAGTAGAATGTAGAAAATAATTTTTTAAATAATTAAAATAATTTAAAATAATTTTTAAAAAAATTGTGTTTTAAGGCCGGGTGCCGTGGCTCACACCTGTAATCCCAGCACTTTGGGAGGCTGAGGCGGGTGAATCACCTGAGGTCAGGAGTTCGAGACCAGCCTGGCCAACATGGTGAAACCCCATCTCTACTAATAACATAAAAAAATTAGCCAGGCGTGGTGGCAGTCACCCGTAATCCCAGCTACTTGGAAGGCCGAGGCAGAATTGCTTGAACCCGGGAAGTGGAGGTTGCAGTGAGCAGAGATCACACCATTGCACACCAGCTGGGGCAACAGAGGGAGACTCAGTTGAAAAAAACCAAACAAACAAAAAATTGTGTTTTAAACATAAAACCAACAGAAAAACAAAGAGCCAAAAGTTGGTTCTTTGAAAAAGCCAACAAAATTGATAAATCCCTAGTGAGAATGATCACAAAAAAAGAACACAAATTACCAGTATCATGAAAGTTATTACCACATTCATTAAAAAGATAATAAAAGAGCAACAAATTTGACAACTTACATAAAATGAACAAATTCCTAAAAAAAATACAACTACCAAAAGTATCACAAAAAGGAAAGATAAATTCTATCAAAATTAATTGAAATAAAATTTAATTCTACCAAACATTCAAGGAAGAAATAAAAATATTATAAAAACTCTTTCAGAAAATAGAAAGCACTTCCAAATTATTTTATGAAGCTAGCATTACTCTGATACCAAAACCTGGAAAAAAGGCATTACAAAAACAGAAACAAAAATACTACAGACTAATATCCTATCTTTTACAAATGCAAATGCAAATTTCTTCAAAATCAAATTCAACTATTTTTTGTCAGCATTTTTCTATCTTAACTTCGTGACACATTTGATTGTATTGTTGATCCTTCCTGAAATGCTCTCTTACCCTGACTTCCAAGATATTATTCTATCATGATATTCTTTCCGTTTCTCTGATATACTTTTCCGGTTGATGATCCTTCTTTTTCCCACTTTCTTATCCCATACAGTTACATGCTACTCTGTTCGTTTGTCTTACCCTATGTTTTTTTCCTCCGAGAATTTTATAGACCTTCATATATATAATATATCATGACTGAGTAGGGTTCATCCTAGAAATGCAAGGTTGACTTAACATTTGAAATGTCAAATATAACACCATTTGTACTTTATTACTTAAAAATGTTGGCCGGGCGCGGTGGCTCAAGCCTGTAATCCCAGCACTTTGGGAGGCCGAGACGGGCGGATCACGAGGTCAGGAGATCGAGACCATCCTGGCTAACACAGTGAAACCCCGTCTCTACTAAAAAATACAAAAAAAAAAAAACTAGCCGGGCGCGGTGGCGGGTGCCTGTAGTCCCAACTACTCGGGAGGCTGAGGCAGGAGAATGGTGTGAACCTGGGAGGCGGAGCTTGCAGTGAGCTGAGATCTGGCCACTGCACTCCAGCCTGGGCGGCAGAGTGAGACTCCGTCTCAAAAAAAAAAAAAAAAAAATGTATATGAACTAATGCATTTATTATGTGTCTAAAGAACAATGTACTGAGTCAAAATGCATTCAAATCCTAGGTCTACCGACTACTACCTATGTAAGCTGAGATTAAGTTACTATCTCTGTTACTTTTTTCATCTGTAATGGACATAAGAATGGTATTGACCTCTAACATTTATAGTGAAAACTATGAGAATAGAAAAAAGCTTATAATATAAGTAACTATACAAATGTTAGCTTTTTGTGGTATATGGGATGCATCACAACTTATATTTAAGATACTTACTCAATTGTCTGTTGTTTCACATACTTATTAGTTGGAATGTGCAAGGTTCAAATCTATAATATTTGTGGTTTAAGATACTGCCCCTGACTTACAAGGCCTGGTAATCTGATAGTAATCAGGTATACTAGATCAAATCAGTAGCACAGAGCATTATTGAAGTTCATGTTTTGATAATCATAAAAATACATTATCAGTGGAAGAGGTCAGATTGAGTCTTGAAGGATGTGAGGTAAAAGGGATAACATTTTAATAGAAAAAAAAGGCATGAATGCTAAGGGAATTTATTTGGGGAGAAGTAAAGAGAGCAGTTTGGATACAATATAACAATAGCAGTTACCATTTCGTGAGTGTTTACTATGTGTGCCAAGTACTTTATATATAAAATTGCAATTATTTCTGACAATTTTATGAAGAAGGTAGTATTACCTTGATTTTATGACTATGAGACTAAAGATCAGAGAGGTTAAGTAACTTGTCCAGAGTCACACAGCTAATAAGTAGCAGAACTGAGATTTTAATCTAGGTTTCTCTGACTGTTAAGCATAAACTCTTAATCAAAAGAACATTTGAGAGCACTAAGAAGAAAAGAATGAAGACATCTGCAATGAGGCCGTTGTCAAAGCTTTGGAGGTATATGAAATTCTCTGAGGAAAAAATATATAGGGTAAGAAAAATGAATAGAGTATCATGTTCTTGTCTGGGATAAGAAAGTAGAAAGAAGAAGGATCATCAAACAAGAAAAGTAGAGGAATAAGATAAATGGATAGAATATCACAATAGAGTAATAGGGTAAGACAGCATTTCAGGAAAGGCCAAAAATATTAAATGTGCCATGAAGCTAAAGTAGAAAAATGCTAATAAAAGATAGTTAATTTTGGTAGTCACATAATCAGACTGAGAATGGAGAGATGCAAATATTCTCAGTAAAGAGAAAACAATTTTTTTCTTTCTTTTTTTAATACTTGAGACAGGGTCTTGCTATGTTGCCTAGGTTGGGCTTGAACTCCTGGGCTCAAGTAACCCTTATACCTCCACTTCCTGAGTAGCTGGGATTACAGGTGTATACCACTATGCCTGGCCCATAGAAATTTTCATATAAGATGATGCCTTAAACTCAAAAGAAAGGCAAAAGAAGACAGTCCATAAATTAGTTTGGGGAAAAGTGTGATTGTGAAATATATTTTGTGAACAGATGTGGGGAGAGAGGAAGACAACAGACAAAAAACACATATATATCAATAGACTACAATAATAGATTTTTAACCCTTAGGATCATTACGTTCTAGGGAAGTGTAAAGATCCTAATTAAAAACAAATTTAACATTTAAAAAGCAAGTTACTATTCCTCTTATTTCTGGGGCAAATCCACAAACTCAACACACACACCCCTAACCTGGTTTGCTGCTTGCTTTAGTACTCTTTAAGGTAGCTGGTGGTGTTGGGAGGATCTTTGCAGGTGTATACGTATTTAAAGATACTTTTTTTCTCATTATTGGACTGGAACGCAAAGCTGTAGAGGCTGAAAAAAATAAACAAACGTTAATTTAATAATTTCCTGCCAATTATATCTTAACATCACAGAAAATTTCTTATAATTTAGTGAACCTACAAATATTCATAATAACAGAAGAAAATGGTCAAGATAAGCTTTGCAAGGTAAATTCAGCAAAATCATCTTTTTAAATAAAAAGATAGTTCTCTTATGGCCTTAGACAAATCGATGTTTTGTTTATATTGTAAATAATAAGCATTTAAATAGTATGCACCAAAGGAATGCCAAGAAGAGAGCAACAGACTTATCTTTTGCTGACAGAAACTGAGGTTTTTAAGGCATGGAAAAGAGCTAATGGCATAGTTTTCTTGAATGGTAACAGAGTCAGTAATCCCCTCACCAGGTGTGGTAGTTCATGCTAGAATTACAGGCATAAACCACCATGCCTGGCCAGGGACTGGGAGGATAAATTTCAACTGGCTAATATAGAAAAATAATTTGATTTATTTATTACTTACAATTTAGTTAGGCCAAGGCAGGAAGATCACTTGACCCCAGGAGTTCAAGACCAGCCTGGGCAACACAGGGAGGCCTCATTTCTATTGAAAATTTAAAAATTAGCTGGGTCTGTGGTTCCAGCTACTCAGGAGGCTGAGGCAGAAGGACTGCTTGAGCCTGGAAGGTTGAGGCTGTAGTGTGCCATAATTGTGCCACTGCACTCCAGCCTGGGCGATAGAGCAAAACTCTGTCTCGGGGGCGGGGGGGAATAAAGAGACAGAGTCTTGAACTGTTTTTCTCTAAGAAAAAATAATAATTATAGATTCGGGGATGTTTCATCTACAAATATAATGGTATACTAAACTACCATATTTAGGAATAAACTAATTAAGTTATAAGTAATAAAAGACACTATTTTCCTATATTAGCCAGTTGAAATTTAACTAAATAAGAGGGAGTGAATTTTAAAGTTGGGTTTTTCCGGTTCTCTTTCTAACTAAGACAGAGAAATTGAAAGGTGTAAAAAGGAGAAGTGGGGATAATTCTTAAGTATGGAATCCTCTAGGCAAGGACAGGCCAAAGTAGGGGATATTAGGAAGAACCAATAATCAAATATGCATTATATAACAGAGCTCCAAAACACACAAAGCAAAAATCTGCCAAATTAAAGGGAGAAACAGACAATTCTGCAGTTGGGAGTGTATTTATCCACTACCAGCATGAGCTTGTAGATTCCCTAAACAAAGGGGGATGCAGCGTGCTTTTGAAAATCAAGATGTGGGCTAGTTATGGCAAATGTGCCTTTGCTGGTTGACACCTACAAAGAATGATTATACATTTAACTGAGAGAGCTCAAAGTAGTTATTAATGAAAATAATCTAAGTGATAAAAAGTCCTTAAAACATCATAAAACAACATAAATTTACTTAGCCCTTTCCTGTTTGCATATTTTTACCCTACTCTATGAACTTCCATCACTAACTTATCCTAATTAATATACCTACTCCTTTTTCTCCAAGCTGATATTGTCACTTCCCCATTGTAAGCTATCTTTTAGTATTAATATTTATTTATTTTGCCTTAGGTGAGAAAAAAAACTTGGAAGGACACAGAATGATTAACAGTTCCTTTTCCCTTGATATAAACACCACAAAATGAATATAATTCTATGTATATGATGATATATATATATATCAAGTTACAGCTTGATAACTCAGAGAACTAATTGCAAATAATATAAATATCCTATGATTTAATAAATATTATTCCTATAGTTACTCTATAAAATGCAAGATTGAAATACTTTCATCATAACTGGCACCCTATTTTCTTTGCTATTCAAAAATAATGAGAAAAATAGAGGCTTTAGAAGACCTGGGTTTTAGTCTTGCTTGACCACTAACTCATTGATTTCCTTAACTGTATCTTTCTGTGATTTTTTTCTTTAAATGGTAAAGCTGTTCTTAAGTGAAATCTTAAATTAAATAGACCAAAGCAGATACTCTGGTTGAAGCAGCCATGAAAGACACAAGTCCTAACTATTCAGCATCTTTCTCTTCCTCATGAAATTTCCACAGTCTCTTGGGAATACAGTTTGAAGACCAATGAACTAGATTATCTCTAAGGTTTATCCAATTCTATGAGCCACATTAAGTACATTTACTTTCTCATTTAGTTCTGTTAGTAACTAATTGCATGAAATTTTAAGAGAGCTAGAGGGACTGAGGTACAATTTGTATCCATGATATACAGAAAAGCTAATTAGAAATTAGCACAACCGGAACAAGAATCTAATATCCTTTGCTTCATTAATATCCTGCAGTAATATACTCTGATGAATTGAATTCACTAACCACAAAAATGAATCCATCAAAAGTATCACAAAACAAACCTTAAAATGTTATCTTTTTGTAAATATTCTACTAAAATTCTCCTTTCGTAACAAACACCTCCTTACTATTTTTATTACCTTCAAATCATTCACTGCAAGTCTTCTAAAATCTAAATAGTATTGATATCTACCCCTAAATTCTTATTTACTAATTAGAATAATTCTTTAATCTCTATTTTAAGATTTCAAATCCTTTCCCCAGGGAAGCAATGAAACATCATTAAGGGTGAAGGGGTAAACTAGAATTTATTCAGGTTCTCTACTGTATTCTGAGGTAACAGCATTGTCCATTCTATCAGGTTATAGAAAATATAAAAGGAGATGACCACCTTCATTTTCCTGACTCTGACCTTTACCACTTGGAGAAGTTATTTCATTTGGAGTATTATCAGTTCTAAGAATCGGACACATATATATGCAAATTTTTAAATTAAGACCTACTTCCTAAAACCATCCCTTAAGTGAAATACTTTAGAACACTCACCAATATACATCTCTATTACTGTTAATGATTGAAAGCTGGCCTCTACTACCAAAAATGGAAGAAAAGGGAAAGGTCACTACTTTGTATAAATGCAGGGGGTATCATTTAGACAGAATATAAAGAGAATAGAGCTCTCTAGAATTATACAATGCGGTGGCCCAGGAAAGAGGAGAGTGACGGTCAGACATAAAAGTGGCATTCATTCCGAGAGCTCTAATACCTCATTTTATTCTTGAGCAAAATTTATTTACAGCACTCAAAAAAAGAGGAATGATATACAAAGAAAGTTTGTCACTTTCTAAGATATGACTAGAATAGTAAGATTCTTAGCTCTAAGCAAAAAGCACTCTCTCCCAAAACTAATGCTTTCCAAACTGGAATTTCCAAAGTACTGAGGAATCCTACAGAGCTGAAAACGACAACTGGCAGCTGACTTCTCACACCTAAAAAGGAAGCCCTGAGCATTTCCCAAAATGATGTCCCTCAGAATAGTGCCATATGATATTTAATGTGTTACCAAAAAAGTGTTTTCTAAAAAATAAGTTTTGGAAAATCTGGGTTATACAGCCTTCTTTACAGAAGAATGTCAGCCTTTTATATGCTAATACAGCTATACCTCTCCAACAGGAGGCGGGATATAACATAGTTTCTAAAACTTATTTAACCATGAACATCTTTCCTTCAAACACACAAATTAATCTCTTCAGAATGTTTTCTGAGATACACAATTTGAAAAACTGTTGTCCTAATTTGCTGTCTTTAGTTAAAAGCTCTTTCTACTTACCAAAGGTAGTCAGGAGATGAGTGTGTATGAATGGGTTAATGCGGACTGTTATTTTGCAGTTTTAAAAAACTTTGCTATAAAATTATATATAATAGGAATGTGAGATTTCTAGCAAACATAGTTTTAACAAAAGACCACAACCCTATATTTTGTTGACTTCTACTGCTTTTTTTTTTTTTTTTGGTAAGAAAAAAAGAATTTGGCAGAGAGTAAAAAAAAGAGCTACAGTTCACATTACACCAAAGAATTCCTAATAATGTCCCTTTATACTCCTTTGTCCCCTAAACTTCTACTCATTACCACTACCTGCTTTTATGTTTTCATAATTTCTGTTATATTCGGATAGTATGTAGTTGCCCAGCAACTAAATAATAACAATGAAAGAAAAATTTCCTACAAATTTCAGGGGTCTTCCGTGGAACATCAGATGATGGAGAAGCAATGGAAGCAAGAAATTCATCCACTTGCTTTAAAGATAGGGCATTATGAAGAGTTTCTAGAGGACAAATAGATGGCACCATGGAATACAATTCAAAGCCTAGAAGAGAAAAAAACCAAAAACAAAAAATAAAAGATGGATATTTTAAAAATCAGTAATTAAAAAGGAAGACTACTGTTTAGAACTGGACAGTTTAGGTCTTTTCAATCTATCACATGCAAACACACAATATCTCTGAAGTCATGACACCAGATGCTATGCAATATGGAGCTGGAACAAGATGTGACAAAGATTTCTTTTTAAATGTAATCATGTAGTATAGCATGCACACAATTTCATTCTATATTGGTAAAATCTAAGAATAATACTTTAAAAACCTAGGGAAAAAAAAACAAAGAAATACAAGTTTTCAGTTTTTATTTTTTGAAGTCAGGTCTATTCAGTGGGTGAATTAAGCTGATGCCACATGATGTATCCCTGATGCCAGGATGCTAACAGTAAGTTCTTGTTGAAAAATTATATAATTACTTGTGAATAATTTTTTTAGATACTTTTCCAGGCGTGCCAAGACCAATGACACTCTCTAGTATGAGCCCAAAACAACATTCATTCATTCATGCTGGAATAAAAATTCCAAAACGTATTTCACCTACCTTTACTGTATAAACACATAATTATATTACTAGGAATCACTGGCTGTGTAAAGTTAGGTCAAGTTAAAAGCAATACAAAATACAAATATGATCCTATTTTTAACAATGGCACAGAAATACAAAAATTTCATGAAACAACCATGCAAATATGTATTAATACCATCACTGAAACAAAAGCACTTAAATACACAGTTTATGTTTTCAAACAAATAGGATATAGGTTATTCACTTTTTTAAAAAAGAAAATTGCCTGTTTATTTAAACTTTATTCAACTGAATGGCTTTTAAAATTGCTTTCATATACTGTTAAAAATAACGAGTCTTTCTGCATCTACTCTTCTAAAAATCCAAACAAATTTCCCCCAGTTAAATACCTACAATACTCAAATAAAATTTTCTATCAAGTCAAATATCATTAAAAGTAAAAATTAACCTCAGACTGCAAGACTCTTTGCTTCAATAGGTGTGTGCTCATTTTTAAATTGACTGATGTTTGATTTATTTAAATATTGAAGGAAATATTGACTCAAGAACTGCCTAATTCTCAGTTAGAATAAGGAAACTTTGGTTAAAAGAGAATCTAATCTTCCTAGGAAGATAACCAAAGGACTTGTAAAACTGGTATGTCTGATTTTCAGGTACAAACCAAAGCATGACAGAACATTACACATACTTTGAAAACAAAAACAAAAACAAAACTATACCATAACAGCAGCTAAAGCACCTAAATTAAGCACTAAAGAAATTAGGCTTGCACAACTGTTACATTTTTTAGAAGTACAAGATTCATGCAAACGAGCGCAAACCCTTTCTTTGCATTACACTAAACTTAACGATGAGATCTTTTCTTCTTTCCTCACAAGGTTTATATATCTTTTATAGCAATTATTTTATTTCATTTGCCTGCTAGATTTTATAACAGGCAAATGACAATATAATTAAGTTCCTCTAGACTACATTTTTTTCCACTTATCTTTAGTAAACTTTCCTTTGATGCACAATGAAAGGGTTAGCGCAGCAATTTAAAAAGCCACCCTGCTGACATGTTTAGAAGCTATAAAAACATACCACTGGAGCCTAGAAATTCCACAGAGGAAACGGACCAGCACCTATAGAGGTGTAGGTGTTCTGCACAGAGGCCCAGAAAATAAGGTAAAGCACTGTCAGAAGGTACTTGTTTCACCATGTTCCTTGAACTAAAGATGAAGGGAGGGGTAAGTCCATGATATGTGTTAAAGATGGAAATAACATGAAAGTTAGAGGAAATAAAAAGTAAAAGGAAGAGTCAAATGACAATTCGTAAGACAGATAAGACAACACAGTATTAAAAAAGGAAAAAAGGAAACCTTAAAACTCAAAATAAATATTTGTAGAATTGAAAGGAATGCATCTCATATGCATTTATATGTGCGGAAAATCCACATTTTTTTAAAAAGAGCCTAAACCAAAGGAATATAAAATTACTCTATTTTCTATTAAAATTAACAGAAATATTTTTAATTTTTAAAACCTTCAGTTAAACACAGATTCTCCTAGATAATAATACCTCGAATACTGGTTTTAAACACATAGCATTCAGTACAAAAACTATGGTCTTAAACCTGCAATGTCTCTTCTTAGAATTTTTGTGGCTTCTGTTTTTCTTGTGACTTCTGTGTTTCTTCTAAGAGGTTCTTAGGCATGCGGGTTCTTTAGAAGCTGCAGCTGTATCAAATAAGAATCACTTTCTTCAAAAAGTAGCATTTAAACAGCTACAATGAAGGGAAAGTACATTAAGCTTTAAGGCTAAATTTTTACTTGTTGAGGATGAGATCTTCTTATTCCACCTTCAAGAATTATTAGTGCAATGTTATTTAGACGTGTTGTTAAAGGATCCAGAACGGGGAGAATGACCATAAACTTGTGTTGAATCCTTTAGCTTCATAAAAGTTTCTGAAAGATCTGACTTGAGTTTTTGAAAGACTTACTTGCAGTTAAAAAGAAAAAGAGTTCCAGGGATAAAAGTATCTTCATTCCATGTGTAATACAAGCAAAAATCTGTAAGTTTTCTTTTAAATTCTTTGATCCTGAATTATTGTAAAATGATCAGTAAATATTCCCTCTTGCTCCACAATATCAAGGTCTATGTTAGATGTCATAATGCTGCAATAATTCCTTTTACAAATAATGGTCATGAAAAACTTTCCTATTCAGCCAGAAAAATGGAATTTAACAGAATTGGGTTTCTAGATCTTAACTTAATCTTCCTCTTATTAGGAGCCCTCTAAATTTTAAGAAAAGCAGTGGTACTAAAAGGAATTGGTTGCTTGATAATAGCAAACCACATTGCTACACAAGAACAAAGTGAATGCTGGACAAAGTTTTCAGAGTGCTCCAGACCAAATAGGGTTTTGCTTTAGGAAAATAGCCAGGAACAGACGATGTTATACAGAGAAATATGCATCACCCGGTGCCCAAGAATTTTTCAAAGACACATCTTATTTTGGCTATTTGACACGGGTGACTCTATATATTTGTTTAACTATCTCAATAAAACAACCATATGATCAGAAAATTAGGAAGAAAAAAGTTATTGAGAATTAAGAAAAATTAAAGAATACTAATTGAAATTTTAAAATTTGTGTAGACTGATCATCTGAGAAATTAGAAGAAATTTTCAGGTGTTAATTTAGCATTAAAACTCATCATCATTGTGGTCATTTAAAAGTTTGATGAGTAATGTTAAATTGCTATATAAATTACAGCTGAAAAGGGAGCTAGACAGTATCAATAATTTGGGTGAATAACAAGTTGGAATTGTATGCCAATTGATAATAAGGATGAAGAAATGAATGATACTGTATACCCCACATTTTGAAATAAAATAAAAATAAAAAAGGGATGAAGCAGGGGAGTATCTTTTAAAATAAAAGCAAAACGTACCATTGGTTGGGTGTCGAGCAAATGAGATAGAAAACCTTTTAACAGCAGAACCGCGTGTGGCGTCTAAGAAAGAGAAAAACAGGTACCTGAAATTCGTAACAGCTACAAAAAGAAGAACACTTAAAAGAAAGAAGGGAAAAACAAATATATGAGGTTAGAAAGGTGGCATGCAGAAGGGACAATGACAGAAGGTAATAAGGCAAATATTGGTTAAAAGAAGTTAACTAGCTTGATGACAGAGGAAAAGTGTCAAATGAAATATACAAAAGAAAGAAAAGCAAGATGAGCTGGCAATTCTGGTAAATCCATGTTTTACTGTCTAAAATAAATGTGTTGATAAATGAGAAACTGTTTTAAATAAAGATGATCCTGAAAGAGCTAGAACCACTACTCTTAACAAAAGGGACACGCTTCCATGAGCCTCAAAAAATTCTGAATATTAAAACTTAAGGTATATTAACAACATTAAGAGGATCTCCTTCAGCTAGGGATCCTAAAATATTCTCATCCTGTGTTTATTTTTATAAAAATATTGCCAATATAATATTGTCCTCTACTTATAAACATTCCACTCACTTTAATTAGCTCAATAAGTAAAATAAGTGTTAACAATAAATAAAAGTTTAAAAGATCAAAGAAACACTTGTTCTTTATAATATAGATTATAAATTATCTAAAAGAAGAATACACACAATACTATTTTCCATTTCAACAAACTTATTGTACAAGTACTCTAAACCTAACTACAATTAACTGTCTGATGAAACATGGATCCAAGTTGTAGGTAACAGAGAGCACTGATAGTCATTTAGGCAAAAGATGACAGGATTTCACTCGAATCAGTCAGTGGCCTTAGATTTGCCTTTGAGAAATACTGCTCATGGGTGTGTGCTTGGGTGTAGATATGAATCTGTGTGTGCATGTGTGCACATACCATCTATGCAGCCAGAAGAGGTCAGCTTTTTACGATGAGTACGAGCATAATCCTGTAGGTTAGGTGCGCTTGAAGAACCCCCGAGCACCGAGGTGCTAAACAGGCCCGCACAGTGAGACCCTGATGGGAGTTAGAGAAAATACATACACAACGGGTGTTCTTCCATTCACATTGGGAATTCATGCAGCATGCAATTAACATGGCTCTTACCACATATAAGGCAACTTTTGGAAGTGCCTTGAACAGGCTCACAATATTCTTGTAATTTCCTAATGATGTCAGTTTTAATACAATACTTCTAAACACCACTATCATTTATCATAGGTACAAATGGGATAATTTAACATTGGACAAAATGTTATCTTTGAGAAAAAAAAATATGTCCATACAATAATTAGACATATACATCCTAAAGTATTAAAAACACTGCCATAAAAATAACTTAGGACAAGAAAGAACTCTGTTAATCAATTCCCAAGGGCAAGCCATATTTAAAAAAAAAAAAACAAAAAAAAAACCCAAAAACCTCTCCTAGCACAAATTAAGTCATATAAAATCAGTATTTTTAATGTATATTTATAAATGACAAATCTTTCCTGATGCCCCTGAATTAAGAATTACTACTCTTTCTTATGAAATAAAGTATATCAAAATTTATTTATTTGTGAGAAGACCAGGTTCTTTTCAGTCATTCAAGGCCTAAATCACTTTAAATACTTAACAAATGACTTAATATCTTAATTAATAAGACCCCCAATGAAAAACATTACTAGCAAATAAAAGAGTCAGTATAAACTGATGCTCAATTTGTAGCAAAAGTTTTTACATCCAAATAACACTTTTATCACTGGGGAAGGATTAAATAAATTTCTATCAAATATACTATGATACATCAATAAGAAGGAGTAATATATAAATTTCTATAAATATACTGTGGGAATATTAAAAACTATCATTACAAGCTATATGAAATTAACTAAAGAGAGATCCTCAAGTATGTAGGCATCAACACAGTTCATACACTTAGTACAGAGATCACAGTACATACATAAACTTACAATGAGATCTGTTTATGCCTTTATTAAACCTATCAGGACAACTATTTACAGAAAATAATATGCCACTATCTCATAGTTTATCAACCATGAGCTTTAAACCAAATGACTTTAGAAAGGTCTTTTCCAATGTTGCTTTGAGTGTTAGCAAAGAACCAATTATGTTCTATAGGTTAATAAAGACTGAGAGTGCCACTGTGCATTAGTTTTGCTTGGTTTTCCTTATGAGCTTCTCAAAGGAAAATTAATATATTCATATTTGGTGAAGTATTCCATACTTTAAAAATATTTTTAGTCAGAAAAATGGAAAGTTCCTTTCTGCATGCAATAGCATCTTTTCATCTTTATCAACTGGGAAAATGACATTTCCTTCATAAATTAACTTACAGAGTACAAGATTAAAAACTAGCATTGGCAAGTTAACTAAGTGGTTATCACTGCAGGCATTCAAAAGGGTTATGCAACAAAACTGAATGCTATCTCTTCTTCATTTTATCAAAACTATATTTTGAGTTATGCAACTCAACATTTCTGAATTAGTACACATCAAATAAAAACTACAGCATAGCATTTGGTCATGCTTTCACCAAAGAGTTTTACATGTGTGCACAATAGTGAGTTTAAGAAGGGTATGGAACACAATTTCCTTTACACCACATACCTACAGTAGGATTCTGTTTCTGTTCCACAAGAGTTCTCGGTGTTCGCAGGTAATTAGCATTTTCAGATACAACCTGCATAAGGAATCCAAAGTAAATGAAGTAAAACAGTAAAATCAATTAAGAAGTCCATACTTCATATGCAGCCTGTTCCAGACAGACAAAGGTTAATAAGCTGTATGATAAATATTAGTAGAAATACATAAAACATGAAAGATCATGCAAGATCCCCTTTTGAAGGGAGTCCATTTCATGAGGTCCTTGCAATGAAGTGGTGCGAAGCAGGCATTCAGAATGAAACATCATGTATGAAACAAGACAGATGAAAAGAAGCAATTAAGAGATTGATATAATTTCACTGTTAAAAGAAGCCAAATGCCCACTCTTAAACAGCTCCTGTATTTGAAGGGGGAAAAAACAACTACAAACAAAAGAAAGGGCAGACAGAGACTCTTGAGATCACCATACAATTATTGATCCATGCATGGGCTTTATCAGAGTAACCTTTAAATATTCACAGCCTTAATGGATACCATAATCCCTTTTCCTATAATCAAATGCATTATATTTCCAAAAGGAAATTGCTGAAATTATCAGAAACCTCATGTGTGACAGTAGACCTTCCAACATAATAGAAATCATGTATATTTTAAGTTTCCAAATGTCATCACGGAAAGTCCTTCTGAAGTCATTTTATTTTGACACATATTGTTGATGGACACATATGCAATTGTTCCCTCTTAAAGAGAACATTAAAATACTATACAGTCCAAAGAAAAACAGACTGTATGTATTCCTTAAATTAGATACTTCCAAATAATAGAATAATGAGGAAGAAAATTATCAATATTTGATATATTCTGCTAATTAAAACTGGGCCACATAAATTCTGGTATTTTCAAAAATGTTTACATTCTCAGCAAATTCCAAATTGAATCTAATTTTTTCAAATATGGAAGAAAATCTTAATACATTTTCTTACAATCAAATTACATAATTTGTTTCTGAAAGTTTTAAAAGACAAGTCAAAAAGAAAGATTTCTTTCATTTTTAAATAATTTTGTTAACAAGGTAAAATTCCAGGAGAATAACATTTATTGATTGTTTTTAAAATCCTGGATATTTGGAACCTTCTCAGTAAAAATACTAAACACATGCCATAGAAGTGATTTCTTTCCCTTGAATATTGGCAGATATCATAAGTATTTTTAAATGAACTCAAAATTAAAAAACCGAAGGATTTACTCTGATGTGAAATACAAGGGATTAGATGTCCTCAAAGACAGCTGTTTGTTGCTCTGAATGCAGGGAGGAAAAATGTTTAATGAAGTAAAGTTTAAAAACCTGTTGCCATGAGCCAAAAATACTGGATGTGAAAGCCAATGATTTGGGGGAGACAGGGGAAGAAGTGATTTGTTCCCCTGATCTGCGTCTTCGACGCCCAGTACCCACACCACTGGTATAATGCAGCCAGGTACCAGTACCCTCTGGGCTAGACACACTCAGGGGGCTCTCTTCCTGGAAGTGAGAAAGGGGGCAAAAAAAAAAAAAAAAAAAAAAAAAAGCAGAGCATGCAAAGTTAGATACAACAGAGCCAAATGATCAGAAAGAAAAAAAAATACAGTTTGTTTGTATTTGCTTATTAATTTTTTAAAAAAACTATTAAACAGCAATTTGGGAGCCAAATATTTCACTATTTGAGAATTTGATAGGAATGACTAATAAATCTAATTGCATGTGATAACAATTATGGAAATATTCTATTACATTAAAAGACATAAAATACTTATACTGCTTCATAATTGTCCCTTCCCTGTTAAAACTGGAAATATTTTAGTAAGTTTCTTTTTTAGCAACTTTTAAAATATAAAGGTTTTCTGCTTAATTTTAGATATTCAAAGATTTTGTCCTATTTTGGGTGAATTTTTCAACTCAAGGCACTAAAGAATTGTGCAAAGGGTCAAAGGGATTTCAAGATACATAACTTAGAAAACTAAATCTGTCTGCCTGACATATTTAAAAAGTTCAGAGATCATAAGATGGACTCAAATTGCACCTGTTTATACTTTCAAGCTATCTATTTGCCCCCTCCAGAGATTATTTACAGATTTAGTAGGCAAAACATGCAGCAAACATTCTCATTATACATGTTTGCATGTTCAGGTTTCAGAGAGCGAGGACAGAGTAAAATCTACTTGCACAAAATGAAGAGAACAGTCTTTTTCTCTGTGTGTCTTTTGGAAGTACAAACTTCTGATATCCATGGAGATGATGGACGCTGGAAAAAGTCTTCAAGATTTTACTTGAGTAATTTACCTTATGGAAGTAAAAGTTTAGCATGGCATAGAAATAATCTCTTGAAATCAACTAAGTATTTATGAGAAAAAGGTTTATAAATGTGTTTTGCATTTTAAAGATTAACGAGGACAGTGCTTTTGTTAGAGGTTTTATAAATATAGATAAGTGGCAAAATGAAGATTTACAATACATTTTGCTGTATTCAGTGTTATACAGGCTTTTTGGAGGGCAGAGAAGAGGCTTTAATGGTGAAATTCTGAATAATTTGATTAACTATAGATTGCTTATTCAATAACACATCAAAATCACTGCACTCACACAAATAGTAGTATAGGTTATATTAATTAACATAGCTTATGTCCCAAATTTTCTGAAACTAAGGATACTTGAACATAATCCCAGATTTTTCATTTTTTCCATTAAGTTATAATAGTACAAATAATTCCAAGTTCTATAATTGTTAAACACCCTCTTTTATAACCATCTTCTTTTGTAACTAAAATATCACATTCAAGGGAACCTTAATGACTATATAATTTCCATTATAAAGTTATAAGGATCTACTTTATGGACAGATTTTTGCCTATACAAAATTGTCAAACTGGAGCACATATACTTTTGAACTTTGAGAATCATAAAACACATATATTTGCATAATTTGGGGCTGTAGAAATGAGCACAATTCTTTTTGTTGTTTTTATTCTCACCTATCAAATGCTAAAAAATGTTATACCTAATTCTTCAGGCTTGGCATATTTAAATAATTTTTTTTTTAAAGTTGATGGTTATATCTTAATTTCTTCCTTTACACATACATATATATGTGTGTGTATATATGTATGTTTGTTTGTTTATTTATTTTTTGAGACAGAGTCTCGCTCTGGCTGCAGTGCAGTCAGGGGCAATCTCGGCTGACTGCAACCTCCACCTCACAGGTTCAAATGGTTCTTCTGTCTCAGCCTCCCGAGTAGTTGGGATTACAGGCCCACACCACCACGCCCAGCTAATTTTTATATTTTCAGTAGAGACAGGGTTTCACCATGTTGGTCAGGCTGCTCTCGAACTCCTGACCTCAGGTGATCCAGCCACCTCGGCCTCCCGTAGTGCTGAGTTTACAGGTACGAGCCACTATGCCAGGCCCCTCTTCCTTTACACTTTTACTAGAGCATTTAGAAAACAGGTATAAGCACTGACCTCAATCAGTGTTGGGAGAATCATCCTGTGGAAAATAGAGATAACCTCAAATACAACTTATTTAAAGTATTAAAAATGTATACAGGTGCTAAAGCTTTATTTAACAAGCTTCATTCTAACTGTTCAACTTTCCTCTTAAATGTTACTTTATTAATTATTTAAATGTTTTCCTATTAGAGAGCATAATAATTATTTTAGCCTATTTATAGATCTTAATATAAAGGTAAAATTTTCAATTATATTATCAAATATTCAAATTCCTACATAGACTTTGCAATTAGGCAAACAATTTGGAATTTCATTTTTTTACCTATAGTATCACTTGAATCAGTTATTGCTAAAGCATCTCCAGCAAATGCTGTCCACTTTTTTTTTTTTTTTTTTTTTGAGATGAAGTCTTGGAGTCTTGCTCTGTTGCTCAGGCTGGAGTGCAGTGGTGTGATCTCGGCTCACTGCAAGCTCCGCCTCCTGGGTTCACATCATTCTCCTGCCTCAGCCTCCCGAGCAGCTGGTACTACAGGTGCCGCCACCACACCAGGCTAAGTTTTTGTATATTTAGTGGAGACGGCGTTTCACCATGTTAGCCAGGATGGTCTCAATCTCCTGACCTCGTAATCCACCTGTCTCGGCCTCACAAAGTGCTGGGATTACAGGCATGAGCCACTGTGCCCGGCCTGCTCTCTACTTTTAACTAAAATTATTCTTGATTCATTAAATCAGGCTTTTAAAAAAATGTCTTTATTGAAGATTAACCTAATGTAAATATTCCTAATATAACAAGACAAAAAAAAGCATTCATTTTTCAAGTTCCTAGAAACAGCTTATTTTATATTTGCATTCTTTTTTATGAAAACTATATGTAAAGCTCAACATTCTAAAACTAATCTATTGTTGAACTGCCTCTATATTTTTTGTAATTTATTTAAAAAATAGATTAAATAACATTTAAAAATTTGCTGGTTTCTCAAGCTCCACAATTAAAGCTGTATTTTCTTTTCTGCTTTATTAAAATATAGTTAGTTTATTTTATGAAAAATGTGTTCTGATACATATACTTACATCATTTGTAGCCATCTTCCTAGATCTTGGAAGTGGAGACTTCCTGTGTATATGAATTGGCTCTGATACCATTGGTTTAAACAATATCACAGCTCGATCAACCTCATCTCTTTTAGAAGTATGTGGTTCATCATCATTATCAGTTTTAAAAGGTCTCCTGCCTTCATTCTGTGAGCAAAGAATATAAAACACTTCTATTCAGATTTAAGAAATATCTTCTGATGAACAGATTCAACTACCACTGGTAGAGGTACTTGAAATACATATACAAGTTTGTTTACCCAGATGAATGAACATTAACTGAACTCTTCTAACAGCTGAGTATTATGCTGTGTACTATGAGGGAAAAGGCAGAGTCTCTGAGTTCAAAAATACATACACTCTATGGAGAAATTAAACAGTAAAATGGCAATTAAAAAAACCACATAAGACAAAGTGTTTAATTACATTTCATCAAGTGCAAGAATAAACAAACAATAATAATAAATGACAGAAAGAAATAATAGAGATAAGCTTTGTTATATAGGAGTCTCATCATCCTAAGCACGAACTAAACAGCATTTGTATTTATAAATTTTAGACTATTTAAATATATTCCAAATATTTCTAATAAATGTGATAACTGCATTAAAAGTAACTATCATTCAATGACTCATTGAGCATTTACTAAGTGTATACCGTGTGCCATGAATTATACTAAAATATCCAACTGTAAGACAATGCAGGCCGGGAGTGGTGGCTCACGCCTGTAATCCCAGCACTTTGGGAGGCTGAGGTGGGCAGATCACGAGGTCAGGAGATCGAGACCATCCTGGCTAACACAGTGAAACCCCATTTCCACTAAAAATACAAAAAATTAGCCGGGCGTGCTGATGGGTGCCTGTAGTCCCAGCAACTCGGGAGGCTGAGGCAGGAGAATGGCGTGAACCCAGGAGGTGGAGCTTGCAGTGACCGGAGATCGTGCCACGGCACTCCAGCCTGGGAGACAGCCAGACTCTGTGTCAGAAAAAAAAAAAAAAAAAAGACAATGCATATATTAGGCCACAGTAATACAGTAAAACACATATTTCAAAGCAGTAAAAATGGACAAACTAAAACTAAATGCAACTACATTGCTGAATCTCCTAAACATAGTATTGGCCAAAAGAAAATAAGCTGAGTCCATAAAAACCCTCATCAAATTAAGGGTTACAGAGAATAAAAAGGTACTTTTTAAATCAAATAAGGGATATCTAAAACTTGAAGGGATCATTACAGTTAATAATAAAACACTCAAAGATAAGAATGTCCACTATCACTAAATCTATTCATCATTCATAGATGATGTTATGATCATATACATAAAAAATCCAAATGACTCTAAGGGTAAATTATTAGAATGAATAACAGTATATATTAAGTTATACATTTGCTACTTATAAAATTTTTATACAAAACTGAGTTAAAATTTAATATGACAACAAAAAATGAAATTTAAATAAATCATAAAAGAAATTTAAATTTATCATAAATAAATTTATGATAGCATAAAAAACTATAAAGGAACTAGGAATTAATCTGACAAAGATGGTATAAGACAATTATTTGGTGCAAAAGTAATTGTGGTTTTTGCTATTATGTTTAATGAAAAAAATGATTTTATCAAAAAATATATAGTTAAATAAATTCAGAAATATACCAAGTCCTTAGACTAGAAGACCCAATACTGAAAAAGTATCATTTTTTTTTCCAAATTGATCTGCAGAGTAATGGTAATCTCAACCAAAATCTCAAAGAGTCTTTTCAGGATATTATAAAATGATTATAAAATTTATATGAAAATGCATGAAACATGAAATATTCAATATAATCTTTAAGAACAACAAGGCTGGAGGAATTATGTACTCAATATCAATATTTATTATAAAGCTATAATAATTAAGACTGTGGTACTGGTAGAGAAACAAACAGAGTAATCAAGTAAGACTAAAAGTTCAGAAACCAACCAATCAAAATACACATACAATACATGTCTGCAGTATCATGTGTAGTACTATAGGCAGCAGAAAAAAGATGAACTCTTGAATCTATGATACTGGGGCTTAGTTATTCATAGAGCAAAGACAACAAAACTGGACTGCACATCACATGTACCATATCCAAAAAGTCAATTTCAGTGAATTAAAGGTTTAAGGTTATCCATTCTAAACACGGCCTTAAAATTCAAACAATCTAAACAAAATATAAAATTCCTAAGTATTCCAATATGCATAAAAGTGTTGTCTATACAAATCACACTTTAAAAAATTTAAGCCATCTTCCTACTTAGTAGTTGAAATAAGAATTATTTATAGTACATTATAAAAATCTCTTATAGAAACCTCATGAAAATCTAGAACCACAGTAACTAAGCACTGAGAGTTCCACCTTCGTTACCTCTCTGGAAGCTGGTCTATATCCGTAGCCAGATGGTAAATTTTTGTCTTCTTCACAACCTTTGGCTCCTGGACTAAAGTGTAATTCAACATGAAAGCGTTCCTCTGAGGAAAGATCCTAAGAAATATGAAAGAACATTTTCAAAATGAGAAACTTTAAGCTCTTTATTTATGTCTGGTAAAACACAAATCAAGAGCTCTGTTTACCTTATTAGGATCCTCATAAAGCATGATAACAATCTGAGTCATGTAGTTGAGCTCATTGACAACATTTAAATAATCCATAGCTCTTTTCCACTGTTCATCCTTTGATTCCTGAACAAAAGATACATGTGGTAAGCATTTTCTCAAACTGTTACTTGAAAGTCACTTTATTGTCACTATGGTAGCTTGTTTAATCCTAGTGATACCACATAAAGTGAATACTTAGTATATGCACAATTTTTAAAAATAATTCCACTACATTTAAAAATCTTACTAACTTATTTAAGCTTGTTTTGGTAAAATATGTCTAAACTCTCTACAAGTTTGAGTATCCCTAACTTGAAAATTCAAAATCCAAAACGCTCCAAAATTCAAAACTTTTTGAGCACTAACATGACACTGGAAGGAAATACTCATTGGAGAATTTTGGGTTTTCAAATTAGGCATGCTAAACCAGTGCAAATATTCCAAAATCCAAAAACAATTCTAAATTCCAAAAAACTTCTGGTCTCAAGCATTTCAGATAAGAGATAGTCAACTTATATTAGAAGTTCTAGTAGTAACCTTTTTTTAACTGCTTATACAAAATGAAAAATAAAGAATTTCTTGAAATATGACAAACACTACTGAATTCTGAGGGTAAGAGACAGTTTTTAACTTTGTTCAGTTCCAAAGTACCTAGTATAGTATCATGTTTCATAACCACAGAATACTATCCTATAACAGGAATGCTATTTTTTCCCACCATCATATATAGTTCATGTATGCGATATAAGCCTATCAATAAATATCCCTATTACACTGAAGTGATATTCAAAAATCAGCAGAAGGAGGCATATGCAAATTCTATTGATCTTACCATCTCCTTCACCATTCCTCCATCTTCATTCTTAGAATCATTGGTCTTTAAACATGTAATCATAGAGCATCAGAACTGAAAAGGATCTTAGAGAACATGTACTACAAGCATTCAAAGTAGAAAATTATATCTGAAAAGGCAAAACTACTCAAAGTCTATAGTCAACAATTAACAGGATCTACTTAAATTATATGTACATCACAGATAAATTTCCTTTGCTGTATACTATGTAATTACATTACAAATATATAAAAGCACAACATTTCCTTTTTGTATACACTAAGAGTATACAATATTAAGAACTTTAGTACAGGATGCATCTTGTTTTAAAAGCAAATTATAAGACCACACATTGTATGTTTTTTAAAATTCAGCATGTATTTTATTTCTATTTTAGACATTACACATTCCATGTGTATGTGTGTGTGCACATGCATGTGTGCAAGTTTAGGAGGTAATATGTGAAAAGATGTATTTTTTTCAAAATTGATAAGGGAAAACATAAATTAGCATTACTGAGCTTCACTAAATGTAAAGTTAGCACAAATGATGAGTTTAAATACTGAAAATTTTCATTAGGTGAAGAGATAATTGATCTTGTGATTTTGTGATACTCCAGTATTAAGAACACCATCTAATGTCTAACTCAGTGTTGCAGTTATAGATTTTGCTAGGTCTTCTCTAATAAATAGATAAAATTAAGTAATATTTAGTAGTAACTTCCAGAACATAATTAATATGTAAGAAGACACAAAAATGTTTTTTTAAATTAAGGCCCCATTACACATATTCCTGAAATCTTGTTTATAATCTTAGTTCCTTAACAAACTTTACAAATAATTCTACAGAAAGATTTTACCCAGTCCATTCTGAATAATTAAAAATTACAACTGGTAATACACGGAGTAAGATTTTAATTATATTACTTACAGATTCTTATAAGGATAATAAGAGTTGGGATAATGAAAACAAAACATTTTGGTATAGACTTCAATTTTCACCTTAGTAAATACATGTAATTATTTTTCCCCCTGGAAACACTGATTTTTAAAATAATGAAGTTGTTCAGTTTTTGTTTTAGAAATGAAGCCTGAATTCAATATATGCCCAACAAACTCTAGATCCACAGCCACCACCCTAGTCTAAATGACATCTTTTTGGACCACTGTACTAATTTCCTAACTGGTTTCCTCATACCCACTTTCACCTATCTACTGTCCACACAACAACCAAAGTCACCCACTTCCCTGCTTAAAACCTTTCAATGGCTTCCCAATCCACTTAGAATACAAGGCACTGGCTCTTCAACCACATCTGCTGTCATTTTATCCAATACTTACTGCTATTCTCCAACCACAGGCTTTCTATCAGTTCCTATATTATTCATGTTCTTTATACCCTCTATATATGTCAAAAAGGACCATGTAAGAGATGTATCTCTCCTCCTCACAAACAATTCCATCAACACTACTGTTTATACAAGCTTTTGCCTTGCTAATTAAGGGTCATTTTTTTTCCCCACTAATCCACATACTTATGCAAGGATGTCACTTTGCTATTCCTTAGTGGGACAAAGAAGAAACAAAAAACCAGAAGAAATAACATATGGGTTTGGAATTTTAATTGGAATAGAACTTTGAAACAGCCTTAGGATAACTATGATAATAATTACTCTCAAGGACCAGTAATAAGATTGATTAGGAAACAGATATATACCAAATTATCATTACATATTTCACTGCCCTTCTTTTAAAAGTACATAAGAAAACAAAATTGAATTTTCTTTTATAGATCACTTTCTATACAGACGTGCATATATTCATACGCACAGAAAAATAAAGAAACATTCTTATCTTTTGGCTAGTTTAGAGATGACTGATTTAGATGAGATTCTGGACTTCAAGTAGTATTACCCTATTACAGCATGGCACTGAACGGAGTGGGTGGCACTGAGGGAGAAGTTAAGTGAGTTTTGTATGCAGGAAGAATATGAATTACTGTGGCAAATGGGTATCACCGTAGCAGATTTTGTGTTTTCCAAAGATGGCTGACATATGCATTCAATTCTACATACTCTTCGTACAATTGACAGAGACACTCAGCCCATCTAGTGCTGTGGGTTGTTTCCTCTCCTTCTAAACCTGGATGAACCTCTGTGATTGCCTCAACCAAGAGAGCTCAGCAGAAGTGATGCTATGGTTTTAGAAGTTAGGTCATAAAAATGCCATGCACTTGCACCTTGCTCTCATAGGAAGCTCACTCCTGGAACTCAGGTGCAACATTTTGAGGAAGCAGGCCACATGAAGAGGCCAGATGTAGGTGTTCTGGTTGATAACCGCAGCTGAGGTCCCAGCAGACAGCCAACATGAAGCACCAAACATGAGAGAAAACCCTTGAGATTGAGACCCAGCCACTGTCTGACCACAACCTCATGAGACTCTAAGTGAAACTTCATAACTGATCCTAGTCAACATTCTAAACTGTATGAGATAAAAATGAAATGACTGCGGTTGTTTTAAGCCACTAAGTCTTGGTATGTCATTACATAATAGTAGGTAACAGTAGATAGTACGTAATAGTAGGTAAGTGGCACAACGTCTAACCAAACACCAAGTCCCATCAATTCTGACCCTTAAATGACTCAAATTCATCAGGCTTCTCTTTACTGCCATCAGTCTATAAAATCACCTAAAATAATTTATATTATTGTTTGCTTGAATGTATCTTCTCTGAAGAGAACATCTTTATCCCTAACATCTAGCAAAATGCTTGGTATATAGTAGTCCCCTGAAAGACGACATTAAGTAGTAACACTTAAGGATGAAATACTAAAATTTCACAGTAAAAATAGCAGTCAGTGATTTAATTACAAAATTAAATATATTTGTTAGACTGATGTAACTTATTCTACTTACATTGCATAAGGCACCATAGCGAAGAATAGACAGCAAAGAATGTACATGACTTTCACTAGTAAAATATAATCTAGTACGAACATGACGTTCAGGAGAAAGAACACCTCTAGAATACCTAAAATTAAAAGCAGACAGTGTTCAAACATAACCACATAATCAAAAACTCGCTAAATATTGAAATTATTTTCCAAAATTAAATTTAATTTCACTAGAAGTAAAAGACCATAAAAATCTATTATTCTTCCAACCGCAATAGAGGATTTATGTTAGTACATATTCTTCTAACATGACACAAACTATAACTAACTAGGACCTCTGAGAGTAGTCAAAGAATAGACTTAATATTAGTCAAGTACACTGTAAATAGGTTATTTTATGTCTTTTAGTAGCAATGACAGAGGTTATAGACCTAAAGATGATCACAGACATTAATGCTGCTAAATGGGGTACACATTGATGATCCCATGTGAACGATGACCTATATTCCCTTTTCCCCACTCACCTTAGTTTTCTCTAAATTGGAGCCAAAAATAACTTTGGTTGGAAGTTAATAGAAATATCTAGGTAATAGTATTTTCACAGTATGCCAATGACACACTTCTGACTTCATAGGATCATCAAAGTGTAATTGAAATTTGAAGTATGCAGAAATAGATGCCTAGAGATTTAAATAACCAGTACAGTTTCTTACACAGGATGAAGTTTATTTACAGTGTCATCATCTTGTGTCCTCTGAAGGTCTGAGCGAATTTTTCTAACCAGAGGAGTACAGTAGCCTTTGGCAATCTCCAGTTTTTCAGCTTTAGTTATACCATATTCCTGAGCAAAAAATACTTGACATTAGAAAAAGGATATAATGACAAAGTACTCTAAAAAAATACACTCCTAAATTAGTCTAGTGAGAGACAAATATTTTATCAAGCCTTTTTTGAACGTTGGATAACTCCAAGTTTGCATTTTTTGCAACTGCAAATGTATGATTTTCAAACTATTAAGTATAATTGGAAGGATTTTGTGGTGGAACTGAACAAAAGCCAGTAATTTCTAAAGGAGGAGAATGAATGGGTGAATGTAATTTTTATGACTAGTATTCACTAAATCAGAGGTTTTAAATGTAAAAACAACCCTAAAAGAAAGGTGGATTAAGGACACAAACACTAAAGCACAATATGTAATAAATATATGAAAAAAATTAAACCTTGAGATTTCTGTCTTTCCAAATGTCAAAGATTTAAAAGACTAACACGTTCTTCAAAAGCCTTTGGCCAATATTTTTAAAGTTTTAACTGGTAGTGAGCAAAGATTCCATGAAATTATCAAATTTAATGACATAATCATTATGGGTTAATTGGATTTGTAAGGAATTAACACAATGTGAAGTGTCCAGAAAACATGGCAATTTTAAGAGTAATTGCAATGAAAATTATAGTTCAAAGCAGTAGAAGAGGAGAAAGGAAGAAGACAGAAAAGTAGGGGTAGAATGGAAGAGAGGGAGAAAAGGGAAGAGGGAAGAAACACACATACCTTCTCTCTCCAAGTTCATTTTAGGATATCTCAACTTAAAGGCTATTTTCTGCTACCAGATACCTCCAGAAAGATTCACATGGAATAACATCAGTATAGACAATAGATCTCAAAACTGCCTAATAAAGAAAATGCTGACTGATTACAGATGAAAGACCTATGAAAACAGAACTTCCTGGGTGTGATTTACTTTAAACTAAAGCTAAGGTGGTTCAATAATCTTGCCAATGTAGGTGACTATATAGTGAATATGCAACTGTGTATTTACGTGTAAATGAAAGAAAAATGTTGGAATTACAAAATCATCAGGGAAGTACTTTTTTTAAAATTTGTTATTAGCAAGGTGTGAGGAAACGGATTTTCACACACTGTTGGTCTGGGTAAAAACTGATTAAAAATTTCTGGAGCTACAGAAATGGTCTTGAGTGGATGGAAAGACGTGTAAAGAGAGTGAAACACATTTCAAAAGTCTAGATTTCCAAATACAAGTTGATTAAATAAATTATTCTTACATTCACACCACTCAGCCATCGGGAATAATAATGCATATTAGCTTTATTGGCACGGAAAGAAGTTCTTTATGCTAAATGAAGGAAAAAATTAGGTTGTAAAATAGTATGCTTTTTCTGATTCAGTTTTCATAAAGAATGTATTTTCTATATATATGCATTTATGGAAAAAATTATATGTAAATGAATTTAAGGAAAGAGGCCTTTAAAAATATTCCAAAACATTGATATGTTTTTCTTTTGTTGGTAATGTTGTAGTAATTTTTTTGCTTTATTTGTATTTTCTAGTTTTATTACAAAGATATATTACTTTTATAAACAAGAAATCTCTCTCTTCAAAACAGTGACATATTTTGCTCATCTGCCTCTATCAACTAGGACCAAATAATTTTTAGATATACAAATTCTTATATGTAGTTACAATATCTGTGCCACAAATAGAACTGATTAAAATACCAGCTAAAGCGACTTGAAGGCTTTCTATAATGATTTCATTGAGAATGTCATTGAACTATCTTTGGGAAATGCTACTATAAAGAACTGTCTGCATTTCATAATCTACAGATAACCAAAGAAAACATCTTTAAACTTCAATTAATACGTGTCATCTCAATTAAGAGAATTTTAATATCAAATATGGTCTCTAAATGTTTTTATTTACCACCATACCATCAGAGTTATAAAGCATCATTTTTAAACCAGGGCCCCAATTTTCTGAGGATTAAGCCTGGTTAAAAAGTGAAAATTTGATTCTATTGTAGCATAAACACCTATCAAAACTAGTTTAACTGTTAAAATAACTAAAACAGACCATACGCATCATGTAAGCCTAGATATGATTGGAATTACAGAATTCACATAGCATAGACGTAAAAATTAAACAATCAATGTAAGAGTAGAAACTGATTTTTTAAGGCATAGTATCATTTTGAAGTACACCAGAATATATGTATATACATTTCTCTTTCATAGTCATACCCTGTTAGTCTGCATTAAATTATTCCAAACAAGTTAAAACTTTGTATTATTTGACTGAGTCAAATCTTGAAGCTTGAAATATTATTTGCTTGAGAACTATGTACGCGAAATTTTATTTTTTTCCTACAAACCACATTTTCATTATAAATTACTGCAAATATGTTTATAATTGCTAGTTTTTTTTTTTTTGGTGATTGAAAATACCTGCCTTCTGTCCACAGTTTTTGTATTTACGAGGTCTAAAGTAACAAAGCAAGGTAATATTTATTGAACTGATTCAACGATCTGAAAATAAAAAGAACCCAAAGTTTCTGTTAACAATAAAGATTGTCATACGAAAAAGTTACGGAGATAAACCCAGAGTTGTCCTCTCCTCAATTTATAAAACAATGTCAGGACACCAGGGAAGCATATAAAAAGACCTTCTTGTTTTAAAAGTATGAATTTACCAAAAATAGAACTGATTTATGTAAACTTGGGCATAATTTTATCTGAAGAGTCAAACGATTTCAAAAATAACTTTTCCAAGAAAAATAATTTTAGAGTTGTCTTCAAATAAATTCTCAGACCGTCATGAAAATCTAACCTAATTGCAGCAAAGAGAATTACCGTAATAGACTGAGAACAGCTGAGCGAAGAATTACTTTGATAGATACAAATGATGACTCAACTCCTTCGTAACATACTAATCTTTGGTGCTTCTTTTGGTATTTAAAAAAATTTATTATAACTATTTAAGTTACACAGACATGGTGAGAAATGTCTTCAACTATATAAACAATACACCTGAAATACATACACCATGTAAGGAGGAGAAATGACCATCTACAATACCATTAACACTTGAGTTTTCTTTTGGGCTCAACTCTTAGAGACTAATTTTTCATTCCCAGTTGTAAAATATTTAGTATATATAATGGAAACAGTAGAGGGGTGAGATTAAATAAGCAATGCAATGGCACAGACATGGTTATGCTAAACATTAGACAAAGCATTGTGTATTTATTTAGCCTCTGAGTAGGTGATAAATTTAGATATACTGAAAGCCCACCTTGAAAAGTGCTTATAGCCACCATAAATATCTTAAAGTCTCGTATTCACAGCTAATTGTTAAAAAGCATACTTACAAAACTGAAACATTTTATTATGCAAAATAAAACTTGTCTTTTACAGAATAAAACTTACCTTTTTCATTTGGTAAATGAAAGAAATTGTGAGGGAATGAGTCCTGTTTCCTAAGTAAATGTTTCCTAAAGTAAGACCTAAAGACATATTCGTAAAGTCTGAGATATTTTCATCCTCTTTTAAAAATAATTTTTAAAATCACAGGTTCATACAATATACCTAAAATTGTCTACACTATATATCTGATCAAACAAATATATAGTTCTCTTTCATGTTGAAGAAACAAGCTAATTGTTAACATGTACACAAATACCTATAGGTAAGTTGTACAACTGTCTGAATTCTCAGTTTTTCAAAATCTATAGGTTTTCCTGTACTGTCTATGTATATTAGGAAAGGAACAGTTATTTTAACCATTGTTATACATGGGTATTCATAAGTTAGGCTTTTTGAACTTGTTTCACAATCTTTATCTTTTTCATATATTTAACATTTTCCTGCTGTCAAACTTTATGTAGTCCACAGTTGGAATATCTGATCTACTCCAACCTCCTATTTACAATATCCAAATAATCTTCTACTGAGTTGAAAAAAGGTCCAAAAATGGCATCTGGAACTTTATTCTTCTAACACATTCCTGATCTCAATATATTTTGTCACTTGCCCCTTTATTATCAATCCAATTCTGTTTAATTGCATTTTAGTTATTTGAATTCTTATTACACCTTTATTTTTATTCTCCTATAATGAAAAGATCCACGCCCCCCAAAAGAACAACTATGTATATCTTGACCTCTAAACATTATTTTCAAAATACTTTTGCATAAAAAGATTTGCAAAAAGTTTCATATAAGGCCGCAACTATCTTTATGTCTTACTCCCCACATATTTCCATATATAGATGGCAGATGCAGAACAGGTGTTCAATAAATAATTTATTTATTCCATATGGAATTATTATTTTCCATTCTTTAGCTTGTTCGCATATTATTACTAAGAGTATCAATTCTTAAATTAAAAAAAAAATTACTACATTCTTATGGCACTGAAAATACTCTGTATACTACTATGATGATAGAAACATGTCACAATAAATTTGCCCAAACCCATATGTACAACACCAAGAGTGAACCCTAATGGACTATGGACTCTGGGTGATGTGTCATTGTAGGTTCATCAGTTATAAAAAATGCACCATTCTTGTGGAGGATAATCATAATGTGGGGGAGGATGTGCTATGTATGGAGGCAGGGGGCATATGGGAAATCTTTGTACCTTCAGTTTGATTTTGCTATGAACATAAAACTGCTCTAATAAATATAGTCTACTAAAAAATGTCACTGTAATCAAACTATTAGAAAATCAAATAATGTGATCAATATAACCATAAAAAGCTTAAAATATAAATTCATAATTACCTAATTTCCTGTTTAAAGTTACTGGTTTTCCAAGGACATGAAAACCAACTACATTTTTTTCCACCAACAGACATTTTAAAAGTATGTATTTATTTAATATTGTAAGAAAATTGATTCTTAAGAATGACTTACCTGAGGGATAACAATATCTGCTAATGCCTTCGAAAGCCTATATAATTCCATTGTGTTTTCTAATTTCAAGGAACCATTATGCTGGACATCATATTTTATACAGTCATATATGTCAGGGATTTTACTAATATCGTATCTTCCATTCTTTGTTTTAAAGTCTTTCTCTAACTTGGACCATCTACGTAGCATAAGCTCCAATGTTTCACTATGGTAAAGCTGAATATCTAAAACAACATAACATTTTTAGTTTACACAACTTAAAAATCTGATTTAGAATATATATTAATATGTTAATAATTAGAAACTTTTTAAAGTGTCAAAAATACAACAGTATGAAGTTAGGAAGTTACTATAGGCATAGACTACTAGCAACCATGTATTTTTTAGACTTGAAGGGTTAGGAACTAGGCTTATAAAAGACTTTTTCCATATATTATAGACTTTAATAACAAGAAGAAGAAAAAGGGCAACAATTTTAACAAAGCTCTTTTAAGCTCATATATTTTTAATTTTCAATACTGTTACTCTTATTAGATTCACATAACTAAGTGAATAGGTAGACTATCTTTAGCAGAGGAACCTTAGACATTAAAAATAGTCCAACTGATCCATTTTCTGACAGAAAAAAACCCAAGATGCCAAAGTTGTCTAAGTTACTAACCAACTAAGCTTTGGGGCCAGAGCCTAGATCACTTTCCTATTGCTTGCTCCTTCTTATTACCCTGTCTACTCACTGCTTAACTATATGGCAATGCTGCATAAGATAATCAAATGATAATATTTTATCTTTCATGCTGTCATAGATAAAAACCACTATAACTTAGCCATTCTTTTTTGCTTGATATATATTAACTCATACTACACATAGCTCTCAAGAAAGGCTTATTTCTTAAAATAAGATTGGTGCATCATATTTTAAAACGCTTAATTGAATAGTAACTTTTATTTGTTCTATGCTCTAAGAAAAACATATTTACCTGATGATTTGGGATCTTCCATTCGATGTCTGATTTGAGAAGTCAAACTCTGAATTAAGGAATAAACTTTATCACAGGTCTTCACAGGATTTTTAATTAAATGCATTGATTTGATAAGAGAAATGCTTCCAGATGGAGTAAGCTACAAATGAGTAAAGTATATATTTTATATGTGGTTATGCCTAATTGTCTAAGAAAACAATATACATATACAAAATTTTCCAGTAGCTGGAGAATAATTCCATAGCAGAAATTAAAATGACCACAAAATACAGTTGACCCTTGAACACCACAGGTTTGAACTGCAAAGGACCACATACATATATGCAGGGTTTTTCCCTAAAAGTTACACCAAAATGTACTGTTTCTCCTGCCTCCCCTTCCACCTCCTTCACTTCTTCCACCCTTAAGACAGCATGACTAACCCCTTGTCTTCCTCCTTCTTCTCAGCCTACTCAGTGTGAAAATAAAGATGAAGACCTCTAAGATGATATACTTCCCCTTAAGGAATAGTAAATATATTTTCTCTTCCTTATAATTTTCTTAATAACATTTTCTTTCCTCTAGCTCACTTTAGAATTTTCTTAACATTTTCTTTTCTCTAGTTCACTCTATTGTAGGACTAGAGTATGGAATACATATACAAAATATTGGGGAACTTCCAAAAAGTATGTGAAAAAAATTGAATTAAAAGATAAAAGTAAAAAACTTTATTTCTCAACACAAGGTCTGTCAGGGTCAAGACACTTTTGTAAGCAATGATACCAGCCATTTAGTCTATTCCTAAAAAAACTGAGGATCCTGGGAATTTATCCATGTCAATGCAGACTTTTTACATTAACTGAAGAAAAATGAGTGCCCCTTAAATTTTTTTTTAAGATTAGAAAACAAACAGAAGTCAGAAGGAGCCATATCAGGACCACAAGGTAGATTCCTAACAATCTCCCACTGAAACTCTTGCAAAACTGCCCTTTTCTGAGAGGAATAAGCAGGATCATTGCCACGATGGAGGACTCTGTAGTGAAGATTTTGTGGGTGTTTTCTGCTAATGCTTTGGCTAACTCTCTCAAAACAATCTCATAATAAGCAGATGTTATTGCTTTTCAGCCCTCCAGAAAGTCAAGAAGCAAAATGCCTTGAGAGTCCCAAAAAACTACTGCCATGACCTCTGCTCTTGACCAGTCTGTTTCTGCTTTGACTGGACCAATTCTACCTCTTGGTAGCCACTGCTTTGATTGCGTTTTGTCTTCAGGGTCATCCTGGTAAAACCAGTTTCATCTTCTGTTACAATTCTTCAAAGAAATGCTTCGGGATCTTCATCCCACTTGTTTAAAATTTCCATTGAAAGCTCTGCTACTATCTATAGCTGATCTGAGCACAATGGTTCTGGTACTCCAAATCAAGCAGAAAGTTTGCGCAACTTTAATTTTTCAGTCAGAATTGTGTAAGTTGAATCAACTGAGATGTCTATGGTACTGGCTATTGTTTCTGCTGTTAATTATTGGTCTTCTTCAATTAGGGCATGAACAAGATTAATTTTTTCCTTGCAAAATTGATGTAGATGGTCTGCCGTTGAGGGCTTCATCTTTGACATCATCTTGTCCCATCTTAAAACGAGTTATCCATTTGTATACTGCTGATTTCTTTGGGAAACTGTTCCTATAAACTTTTTGTAAAGTATCAATGATTTCACCATTTTTTTTGCTTAAGCTTTGCCATAAATTTGCTGTTTGTTCTTGTTTCAATTTTAGCAGAATTCATGTTGCCCTCACAGGGGCTCTCTTCAAACTGATGTCTTACTCTTGTTAGTGCCTCAAACTAAATCCTGTTCAGACATTTTATAACAAGTTAATACGAGTTTATTTTACTATAAAAAAATTGAAATTTGTGTATAGTTTTTGCATAATGAGCATTTTCCACTAACTTTTGAAGACCCTTCATATATGTTCACTGTTCACATTATTGCTAAGGCTTCTAGTCAGAGGTAGGCTTAACTTGGTAGTTAAGTTTTTGCAGAGTCAAAAGTTAAACACTAATTTTTTTTACTGTGAGGGGAACTGGCACTTCTAACCCCAATATTGTCTAAGGGTGAACTGTATAGTAGTAAGATCAGGGAGGAAGTAAAAGACTCAATTCATGTTAAAAAATATTAAACCTTAGCTGTCATTATCATTAAAGAAAATTTAGCAGAAATACTCTAACTTAATAGAATTTGATGTCAATCTGCTGACTCTCTTAACATATGTGAATATAGTTCTGACCACTTGACATATATTTACATGTAATAACTCTAGGCATCTATTATTTTCTTTTCCCAGATGAGTTACTTACCTGAGGTTAAGCTACTTGCTTAAGATCAAACCACTAGGATGTGAAGGAGTAGGACTCAAATGCAGGTAGTCTGGCTACAGACTGGTGCTCTCAACCACTATCCTATTATGCCTTTGTAATGATTTCTTTTTTTTGAATTTAATAAAAGCCATCAATAAAAATATAGTTTCACATTCCAGTTTTGACATTTAGCTTGGCAAGTTATTTAACCACATTAAGTAAGTTTCTACAAATATAAAAAAATATAAAGTGCAATTCTACTCCTGGTTATAATAAACTAGGTAGCTTGGACCAAAATATCCACTGAAGGTAAGTAAAAATTCTGGGCAAAGAATTTCTATACTTACGTTTTAAGGAATCTGTGAAATAACAAGATGGTAAAGAATTATGGAAGCAAACTCAAAGGTCAGTGATCCAGAAAGTGAGTCTAGAATTTAAGGCTGTTTCTCCGTTGGAAATATTTATATTTATGAATATAATAAATGACTCCAGTCAAAAGAGTGCATAAAGGAAAATTTACGGCCTAGGGTGCATATTTTGTAAAAGACAGACCATTAATAACTTAGTAAGTATTCACCTGGTGTTATTAATTTTGAGAATCAGAAAAATAGCAAAATAAAACTAGAGAGGTAGAAGAAATAAAATACTAAGCAATGAGAATTAATCAAATGGAAAATAAGCATATAATTCAGAGACCTAACAAATCTAAACAATGGTTCTTTGAAAGGACTAATAAACTAATCAACCATGGTGAAACTGATCAAGAAAAAAAGGAAAAAAGTATAATGTTATGAAAGAAAAAGGGACATCTCTATAGATCCTACACAAATTACAAAGAAATTAAAGAGGAAATTATGAACAAACTTCTAAAAAATGCAATTTAATACTGACATAAACATAACTGAGAAGTACTAAACTATTCTGAAATCCATAATTAGAAACTTTCCCACAAATAAAACACCCACAGGAATTACCATACTATTTACCAGTAAAGTTTACCAAAAATTTAATGAAATATTTGTACATATACTATTCCCCTCAAATAGGAAGTATTTCCTAACTAATTTTACAAGACTAGCATAATCCTGACATTGAAATAAAAGACACAACAAAAATAAAAAAGTAAAGGCCAATCTGACTCATGGACATAGATCAAATTCCTAACCAAAAATATCAGCAAACTAAAATCAGTGATATGAATGAAAAAGATCATACATGGAAAAGTTGAGGATATTCTAGAACTAAAGTTAGTTTCACATTCAAAAAAACTGTATGATGTAATAGATGAAAGAAAATATGACAAAGTTCAGTAAGTTTTTATAATCTATTGGCCAAATAGAAACAATGAAATTTCCTTATTTTGAAGAAGGGCAGCTATATACAATATCTACAGAAAACTTTATATTTAATGTCCAGTGTTACTAGAAATGCTACTTTTACTTAATATTGTTTTGAGGGTCCTAGCTATGGAAAGCAAGAAAAATAATTTTTAAAAAACAAAGATTGGAAAAGCAAAAAACATATGGATGTGCTATTAAAGAATCAAACAAATCTAGATAAATTATTAGAACTAATGAGTTCAACAAGGTTGATGCCTATAATCTCAATATTTTAAAACTAATTATATTTCTACACACCAACAACAGAGAATGAAACTTTTAAAGAGGGGCCATTTATAATTGCATAATATCAATCACCTCAGCCTAAATCTAACGAAGATGCACAAGAACTCTGTGAAGTAAATTATAAAACATTATTGAAAGATATTAAAGAATATCTAAATAAATGAGCTACACATTCACAGATTAAAAGACTAGAGAAAAAAATGTAAATTTGCACGAACTACAGATATAATGTAACCTAAATAAAAAATCCCAACAGTATTTTTGACCAGCTTGTTTTAAAATTTACATGAAAATGCAAAAAAAAAAAAAAAAAAAAAGGCCAAGAAACACTTGAAGAAGGATCCATTTGCATGTTGGGAGATATTATTCATTGGCACAAGGATCAACAAACAGAATACAGGGTCTAGAAACCGATTACACATATATAATAAAGACGGTACTTCTGAGTAGTGGGAAAGAACAGTCTTTTCAGTATGTTCTGCTGGGACACCCAGATGTACATATAGTTAGGGGAAATATCAACCTTGATATTCTTAGTTGATAGCACACATAAAAGTCAATTTTATCTGGATTGCTGATAAATGTGAAGAGCAAAACAGTAAATTTATAGAATGAATATATATATATATACCCCTTATGGCCTCTAGTCAGAAAAAGATATCCTGACAATGTATTAAAATGCATTGACCATAAGGGGAAAAAAATGAACTTGGAAATCATGAAAAACTAGAACTTCTGCTTATCAAAAGATATTACTGGCTGGGCTTGGTGGCTCATGCCTGTAATTCCAAAGCCTTGGGATGTCAAGGCAGGAGGATCACTTGAGGCCAAGAGTTCGAGACTAGCCTTGGCAATACAGTGAGACCCAGTCTCTACAAAAATTTAAAAAGTTAGCTGAGCATGGTGGCATGCACCTGTAATCTCAGCTACTCAGGACGCTGAAGCAGGAGGATCGCCTGAGCCCAGGGGTTTTAGGCCACAGTGAGCTATGATCATACCACTGCACTCCAGCCTGGGTCATGAAGCAAGACCCTTTCTCTAAAACAAAAAACAAAAAAAAAAAAAAAGAAAGAAAAGAAAAGAATCATGACAACATGAAGGCTCAGAGTAGGTGGTGTTATCTACATATAACAAAGAGCTCATATCCAGAATAAAGAACTTCTGCCATTCAAGAAGAAAAACATAGACAATTCATAGAAAAAAGACAAGAGACTTGTCCTCATTCAAGAGGATATTTAAATGGTCAACAGACACTGAAGCCACAATAAAGTGAATTCTAGGTATATCCACCAGAATGGCCAAAATGGAATCATCTGAGAATCCCAAGAATGGAGAATATGTGAAGCAATGACAACTATCATGGACCTCTGGTGGGACTGTAAATTAGCTCAATGGCATTAGAAAACAGTTTGACATCACCTACTAACATTGTAAATAAGCATACCATGGTCACAATAATTCCACTCCTACAATATACCCAAGAGAAATGTATGCTCATTGCACAGGTGGCACACAAGGGTATTCATGGCAACTTTAATCCTAACAGTCCAAAACTCTAACAATAATATAAAGCATATATAAATTGTAATATGTTCATAAAATAGTACATGGGTCAACAAACTATAGCCTGCAGGTCAAATGTGGCCTGTCACACAGGCCATGGGCTAAGAATGGTTTTTACTTGCTTAAAAGGCAGTTAAAAAAAAAAAAAAAGCAACACAGACCATATTTGGACTGCAAAGTCTAATTTTTTTTAATAAAATATTTACTATCTGGTGTCTTACAGAAAAGTTCTGCCAACCCTGAAATGGAATACAACAAACACAGCAATGATTATTAACTAACTATGACCATTACTTACTATGGTTGAATTTCACAAATAAAATATTAAATAAAAGAAGTCAAATATAAAATAGAACATGTTCTATTATATGAACCTTAAAAAATAGCCAAAGTAAATTAATATTGTAGAGCCACTATAGAAAACAGTATGAACATTGCTCAAAAAACTGAAGACAGAACTACCATATGATCCAACAATCCCAATGCTAGGTATATAACTAAAGGAAATGGAATCATATGTGAAGGAGATATTTGCATTCCTATATTTATTGTAGTACTGTTCACAATAGATAAGATCTGGAATCAACCTGTCCAATAACAGATGAACAAATAAAGGAAGTGTAGTATATATACACAATGAAATATCATCATCTAGCCTTAAAAAGAAGGAAATCCTATCATTAGCAACAACATGGATGAACCTAGAAGACATTATGTTAAGTGAAATAAGCCAGGCACAGAATGACAAATATGTGTAATCTCATTTATATGTAGAATCTAAAAAAGTTAAACTCAGAAGCAGAGTAAAATGATGGCTACCAGAGGCTGGAAAAGGAAGGAGTTGGGAAGATGTTGGTCAAGCGATACACAAGTTCAGTTAGATAAAAGGAATAAGTTCAGGAGCTCTATTGTACAACATTGTGATTATAGTAATAGCAATGTATTTTATCCTTGAAAATTGCTGAGAGTAGATTTCAAATGTTCTCGTCACAAAAATATAAGGATGTGAGGTAATACATAAATTAGCTTGAGTTAGCCATTTCACAATGCATATATACTTTAAAACATGTTGTGTTATAAACATATATAATTTTAATTTGTCAATTAAAATCAATAGATTTAAAGTTAGAAAAAAGCCAAAATGAGACTACACTGGTTAGAGACTATACTCATTATCCAAGTAAGTATTCTGGATATGAAAAGAATATAAAAAGTCAGGACAGTAGTTTTTTTGAGGAGGTAGGGAATGGGTTGCGATTGGGAAGGGGCATACAGAAGCCAAAGTTGTTCCAATGTTCTATTTCTTTACTTGGAGGATGATAACATGTGTATTTGCTTTATAATACAATAAGCTCTACATTTATGTTTTATGCAGTTATCACTTTTCTGTGTGTGTGTGTAATATTTCACAATATAAAAGAGTTTGCTAACACCCACCTTTTCATAATCTTCAGCAGTAAAATCTCTGTCTTTCTGAAGTATTTCATGAAGCCTTGCCTTCACACGTTGCTGACAACTGCTCAAAGAGTCACTATCACTATCCAAAAGACCGTTCATATTTGCACTTTTCACCATTTGAACAAGAATGGGCGTAAGCTCTCCTTCCAAAGCTAAAAGCCCCTAAGCATATTAAATAAAGAAAACACGAATTTAAAAAATTAATATGTAAAATAATATTTGTTACATATTGATTTTCATAAGGTATAAAGTTTATAGTAAATAAACTTTATTAATATGACAATTGATTATTGTCATTTTAGGGTTTTACTTGAAAGTTCCAAATACAGAATTTTTAAATATTCCTTAGTTAAAATTTTTTTTTTTTTTTTTTGAGACAAGGGTCTCACACTGTTGCCTGGGGTAGAGTGCAGTGGCGTGTACATTGTAGCCTTGACCTCCTGGGCTCAGGTGGTCCCTCCCACCTCAGCCTCCTACATCTGACTCATTTTTTTTCTTCAATTTTTTTGTAGAGACAGGGTTTCGTCACGTTGCCCAGGCTGGTCTCAAACTCCTGGGCTCGAGTGATCTGACCACCTCAGCTTCCCAAAGTGCTAGGATTACAGGTGTAAGCCACTGCGCACAGCCAAAAATGTTTTAAGATGCAGTATTAGATTAAAAACTCTAGTAATTCTAAAAAAAAATTATTTGTACCTTTGCAAAAGCAGCTGCAGTCATCTGGACTCGTCCTTCATCAGAGGCATATATTTTGAGGTCATGTCTGTAGGTGCTATGTAATCTAAGTAAACCACAACCAGGAAATCCTGCATAATCTCCTGAAAATAAATCCTCAAATCACTTCAGCTATATTTTCATTTCATTGTATTTCTATAAATATTTAATAACATCAAAAATGAGGATTTCAAAATACAATTTATGAAATTAGTCAAATTAAAGAAAACTCTAAGATTTACCTTGACCTCCAGGATACATACACCTGAAAGCTCTTCCAAGTTCTTCAGCCTGGACCCTGCCTGCAGGAGTTAATTCACCTCCCCATTTTAGAACCAGAAGTAAAGATGGTTCTTCTCTTCGGCTGTCTATGACACATATGAATTAATAAAACAAATGTTAAGTTTTTTTTTTAAACAGACTTAAGATTAATTTTTTGTCTGTGCTCTCTTCTGTGGTGAAATATGGCCCATATGTAGGATATTTTCTTCCTTAAATGTTGTTGCATATATGTCCCTTAATGCTGTTTGTAGGCAGTGCTTCGGTAAGGAATACTCCCTTGCTATTCCTGTTTAAATCTTACTGAAATTTGAAAATCTCTCTCATACTTTAGAAAAATGCCTCCCAATTTTCTTCAGGGATGTAACGTTTCTCCCTTGCCTGTTTTCATAGTAATTTCTTCAGTGTACTTAATTTAGTTGTGCTATGTCTGCTGGATTGACAGCTCCTTGATGCCAGAATCCAGGTTTTATGTGCCTTGCTATCAAGCACCCTTTTCAGTGCTGTCCCATAAAAGAAAATACATTAGTTGAAGTGAAGAAGATATATATTTTGTTGTTGTTGTTTTTTGTTTTTTGAGACAGAGTCTCGCTTGGTCGCCCAGGCTGGAGTGCAGTGGCAAGATCTCGGCTCACCGCAACCTCTGCGTCCCAGGTTTGAGCAATTCTCCTGCCTCACCTTCCTGAGTAACTGGGACTATAGGCGCCTGGCTAATTTTTGTCTTTTTAGTAGAGACGGGGTTTTCAGCATGTTGGCCAGGCTGGTCTCGGCCTCCTGACCTCAAGTGATCCACCCACCTCGGCCTCCTAAAGTGCTGGGATTAAGGCGTGAGCCACTGCGCCCGGCCAGATACACGTTTTTAAGATTGGAAGTCGGTGATTTGCATCATTTTTAGGAAGATGTGAGATGACAGAGCCTAACATTTATTCTAATTTAAATTTTATGCAATCTAATAAATTTCATACAATCTAATAAATTTTATGCAAACAAAAGGTAATCAAGAGCAGCTTTTTAAATTTGAACTTGTGGAATCTCTGCATGTTACACATCAAAGTATTTTCTTGGACAAAGAAAATACTATAAGTTAATGAGTTTCTGTACTTAATTTTGACCTACTCCTTTCCATGATATTAAGATCTGTGTTGGGTTCTGAAAAAAAAGTAATTCAAGAATAAGCATTATAAGCACTAAAAGAACTTAATAATGATTCTTTAAAAGGTGAGAGGAAATCACCCCTTCACCTGCAGCTAGTCAGCAGTTCTGTGAGCTTTGTCATATAGATCAATATTAATTTACGGAAGGAAAGTTAGTTACCTAACTTTTTAAATTATTTGTTTACAGAATGTTTTTGATGATAAATACTAAGATATAGAAAATTAACCTGTATTACTATTAACCACAAAATGTGATAAGAGCAATATATCAAATGTTAAAATATATATGTAAAAATTATTATAAATTTGTGTCTGCATTTAAGATAATCATTACTTTAATTTTTGCTACTATAAGTAATACCACTATGAATATCCCTATAGATCAATCTTTCCCTGAACATCTGATTACTTCTTTGGGTTAGATTCTGATAAGCAGAATTCAGGTCAAAGCATAAGAACATCTTTTGAAGTTTTTGATATACTGCCAAATTACATTTCAAAAAACTGTGCCAATTTATACTTCTACTATAGACTGAAATCCTGTCTCAATGAATTCTCATCAGCACATTTTATTACCAGTTTAAAACAGAAATGAAGAAAGTACTTTGCCAATATGATAGGCAAGACAGATTCTTATTATTATCATTATTATTTTATTGGTCATCTGCATTTCTCTATGAAATGACTTCCTCAATCCCTACCCTTTTCTTTTGTAAGGTAAATGTATTTATAAATGTGGATACTAACTGCTCTTAGGAGACCAAACTTGTTTAAACACTTACTCTGGTTTACTGGGTGGAAGAAAATATCCATTTATTTTAAAAACAGGTTAATTGTATATTTTTTCAAAGTCTTTTTGTACTTCTTGGGCTTTCTTCTTAGATACTCTGCCCTCTGCTATCAAAAGGTGATGTAAGGGGCCCATTAAATAACAGTTATAAATAAATACGTTTTCTGAAACAATCTCACAGTTAAAAGGAAGTCCTATGCAGTTTTCAAAATAATAAAATCTATCCTTTATTTAAAGAATAGGTGATGTAAAAATGTATCCTTTATTTAAAGGAAGCATAGCTAAGATAATTCCACTTTATTTTTCCTCACCATGCCAGTCCTAAACTACGAAGCAAAAGATGGTCCAAAAGTAATCAACAGTGAATAACAAGTTACTACATATAAATAAAACTACTGTATAAGCATTAAGAATGACATACCCTCCTCTTCACTAGATGTTTTAGGACAACCATGAGGGAGATAGGTCAACTGAACCTTACGATTTATTCCAGAAAAATGACCATACCTGAAAAATAAAATGATAAGCAGAATAGACAATGTAGGGAAAAACTAAATCTCACATATTCATGCTCCCTTTTATCTGTAATCGCCTGTTTAATTCTTCAAAATATTCTAGCCAAAAAAAAAAAAAAAAAAATTGCACCATATAATCATTCTAACCACATTAAAAACAAAAATGTTTTTCTAAAAATTACAGGCATGGGTGCCATGGCTCAAGCCTGTAATCCCAGCACTTTGGGAGGCCAAGGTGAGCGGATCACTTGAGGTCAGGAGTTCAATACCAGCCCGGCCAACATGGTGAAACCGTCTCCACTAACAATACAAAACTTAGCCAGGCATGGTGGCGTGCACCTGTGGTCCCAGATACTTGGGAGGCTGAGGCACGAGAATCGCTTGAACCTGGGAGGGGGAGGTTGCAGTGAGCTGAGATCATACCACTGACTCCAGCCTGGGTGACAGAATAAGACCCTGTCTCAAAAAAAAAAAAAAAAAAAAGACAACTCTGAAGAGATAAAGTACAGAAATATGTAAAAACACAGATGTATGTGTTTTAAGAAATAAAGGAAATAAGATTATAAGAGGTTAAAAATGTAAAGCTATAACAGGAATATTGATGGGTATCCATTTTACTTGATTAAGGCAAAGCTCAAATTTTTTATATTTAAACTGCACTGAATCTATGGTCAAGTTAGCAATGTGGCCTTGATTCTAAGCAGTATTTCACAGAAGACACAAATCTGATGTCCTTGTTTAATCTTCTCACCTAAATTAAAACCAGAGCTAAAACCTTCAATACAACAATCTATTTTTTTCACATTAGATTTTCCTTGACGTCTCAACTATAGTAACAAAGAGTAAAAAGATCAGACTGTGAAAGTAATTAAAATGGAAAATCACATACATAAAAAAGAAGAGCTATATGTAGTATCGCGATTAAGGGTTTCAAAAAGATACTCACATCTCTAATACAGTCTTAAGTTGTTCAAGTTTTGGCTTGTTTTCTTCAATTTCAGAATCATTATTTTGTCCCAGCTCCATAAGAAGCTGTCGTGCAATATCTAGCACTTCCTATAAAATAAAGTAACAGAAAATTGAATTTTTATGTAATTTTACCATTAAAAAATTTAAAACTAAACAAGAAAGCAAATACACTTGCCTGTAACTGTTTTGGTTTTTTGAGTTTTAATTTCCCTGATTTATATCCATCACATTTTTCAAAAAGATCAAAAAATCTTATAAAAAAAGACAGAACACTGTTAGTCACTTGCAATAATTAACATTACCAATATATGTTTAAACTAACAAATAATAAATGATAAGCTATGGGACTAGAACTTGGGATCTAAGGATTTCAAGTACTGTGTTTCCTCTTTTACTATACATGTTGCTGCTCAACTTTAACTGATAAAACTTAGTACTTTCCTAAATGATACCAAACTAGTAATCACCATACTACTTTTCAAAGTTTTTTCACGGAAACCAAACATACAATTATAGTTCATAATATTATATATTTTCTGAAGTCATTGCATACACATTGAAAATTACTTGTGTCAACACATACTTAATGGTTCAGGGTTTTCAAATTTTATCATCTCCAAATCAAACACTGGATAGAAATAACAGAAACTTTCATTCTACGAATTTTCTTCTAAAAGGCTGAGGGATTATTCACTCTCAGAATGCAATACAAGAGAGTGATAAGCAAAGATTAAATAGAACACTTTTATGACAATAAATGAAAGCCAGGGCAGACTGATGATATTTATGAATATTGCCACAATAATTTTAGATGCTAATGAACATATTTTAAATGGATTTTGTATGCATCCACTGGTTTAAATATAAATGGCCAAGAGAGGGTAGATAAAAGTTTTTCTATATGATGTATTAATCAAAAGAGTTGATCATTTATCAGAAATCTTAAAATTATATCATGCATGTTAAATTATTCATCTTAAAACATACTTTTGATGCCTCACTTCCATTTTCATTTTTTGTTTTGGTGTTCGATCCCCATGACGTATAACAGCTATGACACATCTAAGTTCCATCCTAAAATGAAAAAATATATATGTTCTTAATTCTCTAAAAAAGATTTGTGTTGTATAATTCAGATTAATATGAACATTTAATCATTTATTTAGAGCCATCTTTTACCATTTCAAGATCTTTCCCACGAAGAATAATACTTACAACTATCTAGTTTTAACTTTATGAAATCAAATTCAAAATGAACTTAAGAAGCTGGGGGAGGGGGGTGATATTAAGCTATATAATAGAATATAACCTTTTCTTCTCTAGAAATGGCTACCTTAACTCTGGGATAAAAGTAGACGGACTACAATTTCTGAGCTTTATTAAATATCTGCTCTGTAGCATTAGATCATTACAGACTGAGACTTCATTAAATCAAAATAAAACTTTACATGATGGTTGCTATATGTATATATTTGCTAAGTTTTGCCCATGTAAGGAGAACAAGTATTTAAAACTCAAATTACTGGAAGATAAAATCACCTTAGAAGCATGCTAGAATTAAGAGGTATAATCTAGTGTTTGCTGAAGTGTGAACTGCAGAACATAACCCTGCAGGATATCAGCTGAGTTACCTGAAAAAATTTTATTTAACACTTTTGTGTTAAATCAGTATGAAAAATACTGATTAAAAATAAAATTTGTTCCCCCTATCATCAGTACATCTCAGGATATTTAACATGTTAATATAAATATCTAAGTTGTGGGAAAAAAAGCATTCAGTCAACTGACATGAATTTAAAGGAATAATTTTCGGTAATAGAATGTTATGAAACATTTTCGCAATACTGGTATAATTATGCAAGATATGACTTGAGAGAGCAAAAGTTGTAAGACCACTGTGAACCTTTAAGTAACATACCTATTGGTACCTTTTTTATTTTTATGGCTTGATTAAACAATTCTATAATTATCCAGGCATGTTTCAGTAGTTTACTTGTAACAATTAGTGGACCCTTATAAATACGTATAATCTACTACTTTATCTTTAAGCTGAATCATATGAAATCATACACAGTAAAGTGTCTAATCATCATTCAGAAATTTAATTTTTATCCTAATAGCACAGATGACAAGGGGAACTCAATTTCTAAAACAATTCAGACTTACATAGTTCCAGATGTAGTTGGTACAATTGGGATATCTTCAGCTTCTAAGGGTATTGACCACGGAATATGAAATTGTGGAGCCAGTTCTCGCATTACAATATTTCTTCAAGACAAAAAAGGAAATACTTAAAATTAGTACATTTTAAGACAAAACTGGCCGGGCGCGGTGGCTCACGCCTGTAATCCCAGCACTTTGGGAGGCCGAGACGGGCGGATCACGAGGTCAGGAGATCGAGACCATCCTGGCTAACACGGTGAAACCCCGTCTCTACTAAAAAATACAAAAAACTAGCCGGGCGAGGCGGCGGGCGCCTGTAGTCCCAGCTACTCGGGAGGCTGAGGCAGGAGAATGGCGTGAACCCGGGAGGCGGAGCTTGCAGTGAGCCGAGATCCGGCCACTGCACCCCAGCCTGGGTGACAGAGCGAGACTCCGTCTCAAAAAAAAAAAAAAAAAAAAAGACAAAACTGGGTACTTAACGATAATGAGAGAGAATCGTAAGACTTAAAATATCTAGTGATTACATCACATAAAAAATAACCCACAGAATCAAATTCTGATCAAGAAAAAATAAAAATCAGCAGTTCTAAATTGATGTATTAGACACATCAATGGGATTTCACAAATTTGAGATTATTTGCTTTAGTTTTAAAATATCAATCAGCATTGGATTCAAATAAATCACTACAATTACATCATATCTAATTACATACATTCTGAAATTCAAGATTGTCTCTTCTGTGTGGCTACTGATAAGTTCTTATCAGTTTATTGAACACCTAAAATGCTACTATAAATATTGTGTTCATCTTAACAAATCACTACTATACCAATAAGGTTAAAAATGGAAAAATGTTTACTTTTTGGTTTTGTTTAAATTTAGCATTTATTTATGCTAAAATTTAGTAAACTCTCCCTAACATCACTTTAAGGGTAAGTTTGTAAATCTTTGAAACATACTATGGGTTAAATGTTCTTAATCTGAAAATCTGAAATCCAAAACACTTCTGGTCCCAAGCATTGTGGATAAGGGATACTTAACCAGTAAAAAAGCTGGCTCCAATTATTGAACATTTTTTAATGTAAGTTTCCTATGGATTTGTCATATATACCTGGAAATGTCTTAAAAATAGTTATTGCCTTGCTAGTCTTCTGAATCAAAGTATAAAGAAAACAGGTTGAAGAATATAAAAACGGCATTTCTACCTACAATATTTTTTTTACATTCACTTGACAATCTTATGAAAATATCAAGTAACATATGCTTGTAGAACGAATTGTCATGCAAAAGAGTCATGAATTCTAAATATTTCTATTTTACTCTGTTTATTTATTTCATGAATGCTAATTTTGTCCATTAAGTGGAAGAAAACCTTTTCCACTGTAGTTACATGGCAAAAATTTGAGGAATAATGTATTCTAACAAATAAACTTTTGACTAATAATCAACATGTTATAGTATTTGTAAACGTATGAAGTTAAAGGTTTTCATCTATACTGATCATAAATTAATCTGTCTTTGATAAGCCAAAGTATAATTCAGGATCTGGCATAGTCTTCGGGGGTATCATTTTATGAACACTGATCTTTACTCTAGAAGGCTTAAAAAAACCTGACCATTTAATGTTAACAGTTATTTGGTTTCTGAAAAACTAGTATATGAAGGTAAAAAGAAAATTTTAAAAATTCTTACCCAAGTATTTTTGCACAGTCATCATAATACTTCATGGAATTTTTCACAAAACTGAAGCCATTGACATCACAGACATAGGACTGTCCATTGGCCCGTAACAAATCAAAGCCACAAACTGTTTGCTATTTAAAATAAGTTATAAACTTTAAGGTTTAATTTAAATTATTAAGATTCACAGTTTTCTAGTCGTATCAGAACATATCAAATTTTATAAATGCTTAAAAGTATATTACTATATATTGGTTTACTTCACAATAAGAAATGAAAGAAATTATTTATTTGTAACTTGAGTACTCTGAAAATACATTATAGAGGCTATATGATTATTTAAGTCTTTTATCATAAAGTAGATGTAGAACAATAATGCATAAGCGGCTAGAGAGGCCCCCAAATAATATATTCTATCACAAAGTTCTACAATTAACATCTAATTTAAAAACAAAAGCAAAATTGTTAAAGGATCTGAAAAAAACAAAAAACAATAAACTTGGCAATAGCAGAAATTACATCATGTTAATCAAAAAAAAAAAGAGGGAGGGCGGATATGGAGAACAGTTTTGAGGACATATTCCAGAGGAAATCCTGTGATCTGTTTTGTTTGGTTTTGAGAGGTAGTGTCACTCTGTCACCCAGGCTGGAGTGCAGTGGCACAATCTTGGCTCACTGCAACCTCCACTTCTCAGGTTCAAGGAATTCTTGTGCCTCAGCCACCCAAGTAGCTAGGACTACAGGCGTGTGCCACCACACCAGGCTAATTTTTGTGTTTTTTAGTAGGGACAGGGTTTTGCTATGTGAGCCAGGTGAGTCTGGGGTTCCTGGCCTCAAGAAATCCACCTACTTCAGCAACCCCAAAGTGCTGGGATTACGGGTGTGAGGCACCACACCCAGTCAAAATCCTGTGATCTTTTAAACCCCCAATACCACATATTCGTGAACACCTGTAATAAACTTACTTTATTTGGGAGAAGAAAATGGCCAAAAGGCATGAATTTGCCACTCAGGCTCTAAGAACTTTCTGATCTAACATTTGATGTTCAGTCATCAGGTATTAGTAGAATGTGATTTTTTTGTCACAGCTTTCAGAATCCTGGCATAATAAAAGGATTTCTATAAAGCTATTAAAACTTATTTACAGGCTAACATTCCTTCCATGAAAGACACTTCAAATTATTAAGGCACAAAGTAATTCTTTATTGTTTAATAGCCAGTAATATATACTAGCCGTTAAGTTATAGATCCAAGGCAAGATTTCAAAAAGGTAAAATTTTTATCCTTCATTAAATGAAGGTTGTACTATTTCTATTTAAATCTTTACTATATAGTAGTTAGGAAGAAACCTAACAATATAGATTGAGAGAATTAGTCAAATGTCAAAAGTCAAAAAGTTTTTTTTAAGAAATGTTTTTGGCTGGGTGCAGTGGCTCACACCTGTAATTCCAGCACTTTGGGAAGCCGAGGTGGGCGGATCACGAGGTCAGGAGTTTGAGATTAGCCTGGCCAACATGGCGAAACCCCCTCTCTACTGAAAATACAAAAATTAGCCGGGTGTGGTGGTGGGTGCCTGTAATCCCAGCTACTCTGGAGGCCGAAGCAGGAGAATAGTTTGAACCCGGTCGTGCCACTGCACTCCAGCCGGGGCGACAGCAAGACTCTTGTCTCAAAAAAAACAAAAACAAAAACAAAAAACAGAAAGTTATGTTTTTATATTGTTTTCATGAACATCTTTTATCATATATTAGGCCAAAGAATCAATCGCCAGGGCTAGACCACTGAGAACTGTTTTCATTTAACAAAAAAACTTACCAATTATATGAAAGTAACACTTAAAGCCAGTTTCAAAAAGTACACTAGACAATAACCCTAAAACACTGATTAGTTGAGTCATTTCTGTAATTTTAATTTCTGAATAAACTGACCAGGTTTTCTTTTATATTATGCAAAAGAATATACTGGCACTACAAGAATCCCTTGAAAAATACATGAACCATTCAGATGTATTAATTACTTTCTCAGTTTACTTCTCCAATTATAAGCACCAATAATGTCTTAGTCAAAAAAGAAAATTAGAATTTACCTTTATAAGGATCTATAGATTTGTATAACATCTTACCTTAAAAGCAAGGCATACTTTCCAAGCAATTAATTTCTCTCGTGCATTGAGAATAACAGGATATCTTACTTCTTTTCCTTCACTGTCTCGTTCCACCTTGCCATCAAGTGCTGGAGATTTTCGAGCTTCAGCATGGGCATAATCTGGACCCACTGTATAAACCTTTCAAAAATGTTAAATAAATGTATAAATACATATGTGTGTGTATGTGTGTGTGTGTAACCAGCAGACAACAAATCCAGTGAAAATCAATAACTAAAAACTAGTTCTGAATCCAGGCAATAATAGACACATCTTTTTATTTTACATGCCCAAATTTTCAGTTCATTGGGAAAGGTTGTAAGTAATCATTATATGGCAAAATTGGTAGAGTGAAGTTTCATTCTCTATAGAGAACTATTATACTGAGTATTATGAGGGAATACTAGGATGTATACAATGTGATTGCTGTCTTCAAATTGTTTTAGTTTAACAAATGAGAGATGCAAATAACTATTATAGGGGAAAAAAAATCCCAAAAGAAAATCTTTAAAAGGGTGAGGGTATGAATCTGAGTGCAGATAAGAGAAGAAAAGTTAAAGAAAGAGGCAAGAACAGCATGATGTATTCAGGTATTGGCAAGTTATCTGATGTAGTTTATACTGTAAGAAATGAGGTTTATAAGACAAACAGAGGACACTGAAATATCTTGTATGGCAGGATTATGAATCTGGTTATTATCCTGTGGTCAATAAGGATCCACTAGAGAACTTTTAAGGATTCATACTCAGATTTATACTTTAGAAAACATTCCGGTTAGAGAAAGAATGGCTGAAGGTAAAGCAATTAAGACCTTATTTGTCACCAACTAAAATGACAGATATGTTTTATATCACATCACAGTTGTCACAGATCTCAAAACCTCACTTACACTAATCACTGCTTGGAAACTGTGATGGTTATTAGACCTTTATCCCTGGTATCTTATTATTTAATGCCCCTTTAAAGACTTATTATGTGTAACACAAAGTTGGTTTTTAAATATTTTATTATATTTTAATAAAATTTGTCTCCATCATAATCTTACATGTTTAAAGCATTTAAAAACACTACTCTTAAAAAAGAGTCCATAGGCTTAAGACTGCTAAAGATGTTGATGGTACAAAACATGAGGAATCCCTAATCAAAAAGAAAGAGATCCTGAATAAAGGTTAGATACAGTTAAAGATTAACTTCTTTTTCTGATATCATTGGTAAACTTGAAATATAAAACTAAAATCTATTTTAATCAATCCTACCTTAACATCAGTACCATCTGTGGGCATAAACTCTTCATATATATATGAGCCTGTTTTTCGTACATTGCTTTCTGGAGAATAAACACTACTTCTACTGCCAATCTGAAAACAAAAGATGTCCATCGATATAAAAAAGCAAATTATTTCCCTCATTTTTATGATAAAATGACAAATAGTTTATTAACCACCTATTTCCATCTTAGACATTTTCAAATACATTTTTAATCCACAAATAATTAACAAAACTTACTACATACTTGGCACTATAGTAGTCTCTATTGTTACCATAACTTACATATTAAAGAGTATAGAAATACAATGAACAGTAAGAGTTATATTCCTAAGATTCATCCAGGTTGCTGCATGTAAGCTTGTTCATTTTTACTACTCTAGAATTTCCACTGTATAAATACACCAGAATTTATCCATTCTCCTATCAATGTATGTTTAGGTTGTTTCCCAAGCTTTGGTGATTACAACGTTGCTTTCAACGTTCTTATGTGTCGCAACAGCAAACTTGTATGAGTGTTCCTAAGGTATATAATAAAAGTGGAACTGCTCGGTGATAGAATGTGCTCATATTCAACTTGTGAAGATAATGAAAAATCTTTCTCAACTATTTTAACAATGTAGGGTCTCATCAGCAATGTGTAAGTTTTCACTGTTCTACATCCTTGTTTACACTTGTTACTGTTAGGCTTCTTAATACCTGCTACTTTAATGGATGTTAAAATGGTATCTCACTGTGTTCTTAATTTGAATTTTCATCAATTTTTATACATGTATATGCATTTTACATTCTGATACATTGCTAAATTATGTTGTTAAGAGGCTACACTACTTCGTATTTCTGCCAACAATGTTTGCCCTTGTGCTTATTTCTCAACTAGTTCAATATTTTTTATCTTTGTCAATCCAAAAAGTAATACAATGTCATTATATCTAGATTTGATTTGCATTTATTTTATTATGAGTATAATTAAGTGTACTTTCAGGTATGTAAAGTTATCAGTGTTACTTTTTCTATGAGCTGTTATTTTTCTGGACCATTATTCTAAAAGACTGCTACAGCTTAAGTGAATTTCTAGTTTGACAGATATACAAAATGGGAGGGAAAGGAAAAGTCAAGTATCCTTCCTGGCATTCTGCAGGCAGAAATTCTGCTTAACAACATTAAATAACTAAAATGATGCCATGCCTTTCTAACAAAGTATATCAGTTTTATAAATTTACCTCTAAATGATAAATTTTCAAGAGTTCAATATTTAACCATAATTAAATGCTTGATTGCTTTTAATAACACTTACACAACAATGTCTAAAGAAGAGTATTCACACAAAAGTTACAAACGTTTTACCTTTCTAAAGAGTCTTTGACTTCCACCACCAGCAGAAGTTGGGTAATAAATGTAAACATTGTGATCTTCTGCACTGACTGGCTTTTCTACAAATGGCTTTTGAAAAACTTCCCCATTTACTTCTACATGATCTTCCCCTTCAATCAGATTACATTCTATAAAACAAACATGATTGCAAGAAATATCACATATTCTTATTATATTATCAGGACACCACATTATTATCGAGGACTTTTTTTACTAAAAGACCGTAAAAGAAAAGTAAATTTGGATAATGTACTCACTTGATTTCAATCATACATGTTTATATAAATAACATATGTCAACGTTTATGATATATATGGCATTAAAAGCTATAGTTCTTCAAAATTTTACAGACTTACCATTTCACACTACCACACCACAGAATTCAAAGTTAGACGTGAAATTATTATATCAAGACTGAGAAGTAACTCAAGAATGTCACCATCTTCTGAAAACTGTGTGAGATTATTCGTATCACAGATATCGTAAAACATGAAGTTATTTAAGTTAGAAAGTAACTCATATGCAAAGTAAGCCAGCAATTCAATTAGAAAGTTAAATTTTTACCTCTAGACAAGAAAAGTTTCCTGCTTCAGACGATGATTACTTTATCTCTTTTTTAAATGTTATTTTTAACCATCATGGGTACATAGTAGTTGTATATATTTACGTGGTCCATATGAAATTCTGATACAGGCATACAATGGTCTAATAATCAAATTGGAATAGTTGGGGTATTCACCATCTCAAACATTTATCATTTCTTTGTGTTAGGAACATTCTAATTTCACTCTTAGTTATTTCAAAATATAAAATAAATTATTGTGAACTACAGTCACCCTATTATGCTACCAAATACTGGATCTTATTCATTCTATATAACTGCATTTTTATACTCACTAACCATCCTCACTTTATCCCCGTCATCCTTGCAACCCTTCCCTCCAGTAACAATTATTCTATGCTCAAGCTCTAAGAGTTCATCTTTTTTTTTTAAAGCTCCCACACGTGAAAACATGCAATATTTCTTTCTTGCCTGGCTTATTTTACTTAACATAAGACTTCCAGTTTCATCCATGTTGTTGCAAATGACAGGATTTCATTCTTTTTATGGCTGAATAGTATACCATTGTCTATAGGTACCACATTTTCTTTATCCATTAATGGACACTTAGGTTGTTTCTATACTGGCTATTCCAAGTGGTGCTGCAATACACATGAGTGCAAATATCTCTTCAATATACTGATTTCCTCTTTTTTTGGACATATACTCAGCAGTGAGATTGCAAGATCATATGGTAGCTCTATTTTTAGTTTTTTGAGGAACCTCCATTCTGTTCTCAATAGTGGCTTTACTAATTTATATTCCCACCAACAGTATTCCCTTTCTCCACATCCTCACAAACATTTCTTATTGCTTGTCTTCTTGATAAAAGCCATTTTAACTGGGATGAGTTGATATTTCATTATAGATTTGATGTGCATTTCTCTGATGATTGGTGACGTTGAGCATATTTTCATATACCTATTGGTCATTTGTATGTCTTCCTTCGAGAAAAATCTGTTCAAATCTTTGCCCATATTTTAATTAGATTGTTTTTTTCCTATAGAGCTGTTTGAGCTTCTTATATATTCTGGTTACTAGTCCCTTGTCAAATGGGTAGTTTACAAATATTTTCTCCCATTCTGTGGACTGTCTCTTCACTGTATTATTTCCTTTGCTGTGCAGAAGCTTTTAATGTTGATGTGATCCCATTAGCACATTTTTGCTTTGGTTGCCTGGGTTTCTGAGGTCTTACTCAAGAAACATTTGCCCAGACCAATATCCTGGAGTGTTTCTACAATGTTTTCTTCTAGTAGTTGCATATTTTCAGGTCTTAGATTTAAGTATTTAACCCATTTTGATTATGTATATAGAGAAAGATAGGGGCCTAATTTGATCCTGCATATAGATATCAAGTTTTCCCAACACTACTTACTGAAGAGACTGTCCCTTCCCCAGTGGACATTCTGGTCAACTTTGTTGAAAATGAGTTAATTGCAAATGTGTGTACTTTTTTCTGGATTCTGTATTCTGTTCCTTTGGTCTATGTTTCGATACCAGTACCATCCTGTTTTGGTTACTATAGCTTTGTAGTGTAACTTAAAAGTCAAATATTGTGATTCCTCCAGTTTTGTTGTTTTTGCTCAGGCTGGCTATGACTATTCTGAGTCTTTTGTGGTTCCATATAAATTTTAGTAATTTTTTTTTCTATTTCTGTGAAGAATGTCTTTAGTATTCTGACTGCATTGAATCTGTAGACAGCTTTGGGTAGTATGGCAATTCTTTCAATCTATGAAAATGGAGTATTTTTCCATTTTTTGGTGTGTTCTCTTCAATTTCTTTCATCAGCATTTTATGGTTTTCATTGTAGAAGAGATCTTTCATTTCTTTAAGTGAATTCCTAGGTATTTACTTTATTTGTAGCTATTGTAAATGGGATTACTTTTTTTTTGGTTTCTTTTTCAGATTGTTTGCTGTTCGCATATAGAAATGCTATGGATTTTTGTAAGTTGATATTGTATCCTGCAACTTTACTGAACTTGTTCTAATAGTTTTGTGGTAGAGACTCTAGGATTTTCTAACTATAAGATCATATCATCTATAAACAAGGATAATTTAACTCCTTTCTTTTCAATTTGGATGCCCTTTATTTCCTTCTCTTCCCTAATTTCTCTGGCTATAATTTCCAGTACTAAGTTGAATAAAAGAGATGAAAGTAGACATCTTTGTCTTGTTCCAAGTCTTAGAGGAAATATTTTTACCTTTTCCCTGTTCAGTATGATGTTAGCTGTGGGTTGGTCATATAGGCCTTTTATCATATAAAGGTAAGTTCATTCCATACCCAGTGTTTTGAGAGATTTTATCATGAAAGGATGTTTAATTTTATCAAATGCTTTTTCTCCATCAACTGAAATGATCATATGTAGACAGTATAGAGTTGGGTCTTATTTTTTAATCCATTTTGCAACTCTATGTCTTTTGATGCAAGAATTTAGCCCATTTACATTCATGTTATTATTGATAGGTAAAGACTTGCTTCTGCTATTTTGGTATTTGTTTTCTGAGGTTTTTATTTTTTTGTCCTCCCTTCCTTCCTTCCTGTATTCCTTTATGGGAAAGTGATTTTCTGCCTGGGCACGATGGCCCCCAGCACTTCGGGAGTCTGAGACAGGAGGACCACATGAGCCAAGGAGTTGTGAAACCAGCCTGGGCTACACAGTGAGACCCTGTCCCTACAAAAAATAATTACTTGGACATGGTGGCTTGTGCTTGTAGTCCCAGCTACTCAGGAAGCTGAAGTGGGAGAATCACCAGGGAGTTGAGGCTATAGTGAAAAGTGATCACGCCACTTCACTCCAACATGGTTGAAATGCCATTATGCCACTTCACTCCAACATGGGTGAAGAGCAAGACCCTGTCTCAAATACATATATATGTATGTAATTCTCTCCGGTAGTATGTTTTAATTTCTTTTTATTTTTTGTGTATCTGTTATAGGTTTTTGTTTTGTGATTACCATAAGGCTTACAAATAACATTTTATTAGCAATTATTTTAAATTGATGACAACTCTGATTACAAAGAAAAGAAAAAGAAAGAGAAAATTTTAAAAACTCTACATTTTAACTCCATTTCGCCCATCCATGTTTTGGCTTTTTGTTGTCTCTATTTTTATGTTTCTATACTCGTAAGAAGTTGTTGTAGTTATTATTTCTGACAGGTTTGCCTTTTAGTCTTCCTATGAAATATATAAGAGGTTTGTACACCACAATGACAGTGTTAGAATATTATGTACTTATCTGTGCACTTACTATTACCAATGAGTTTTACACATTAAGATGATTTCTTGAATTTTTTTTTTTTTTGAGATGGAGTCTTTCTCAGTCACCCAGGCTGGAGTGCAGTGGCACGATCTTGGCTCGCTGCAAGCTCCGCCTCCTGGGTTCACGCCATTCTCCTGCCTCAACCTCCTGAGTAGCTGGGACTACAGGCACCCGCCACCAAGCCCGGCTAATTTTTTTTGTATTTTTAGTAGAGACAGGGTCTCACCATGTTAGCCAGGATGGTCTCGATCTCCTGACCTCGTGATCCACCAGCCTCAGCCTCCCAAAGTGCTGGGACAGGCGTGAGCCACTGTGCCTGGCCCAGATGATTTCTAATTGTTAATATATTTTTCTATCAGATTGATGAACTCCTTTTAGCATTTCCTGTAAAACATTTCCTTAGAGACCCTGTAAGATCTTTTTCTTATCCTATCCTGTAAGGATAGGAAATTCCAGGATATTGGTAATTCATGAATCCCTCAGCTTTTGTTTAGTAAAATCTATTATGTCTTCATGTTTGAAGGATAATTTTGCTGAATAGAATATTCTAGGTTCGAAGTTTTTTTTTTCCTTCAATACTTTGAATGCCATCACACTCTCTCCTAGCCTATAAGCTTTCTGCTTAGATGTCAGCTGCCAGCTGTATCAGAGCTTCTTTAAATGTTATATACATCTATTCTCTGGGTGTTTTAAGGATCTTTGTTTATCCTTGACCTTTCAGAGTTTGATTAATATATGTCTTATTTGAGTTAAATATTCATATTCTTCTATGACCTATGGATATTCATATCTTTCTTTAGGTTTGGAAAGTTGTTATTGTTTCTTTCAATAAACTTTCTACCATGATCTCTCTATGTTTTCTTTAAGAGCACTAATTATTGGATTTGTCCCTTTGAGGCTATTTTTAAGATATATATATATATATATATATATATAAACATTTTCCCTTCCTCTTATTAACTACATAGGTCCCAAAGTTGTCAAAGAAAAATGAAGAAAGGAGTGGGCCAAAAAGATGAAAAGTGCTACCTGAGAAGTTTGTTCAGACTCCTCTGTCAGGTCTCTTTAGTCCTTAGGTGTGTTCCATTCTTTTCCTCTCTTTCTCCTCTGGCTATGTATTTTCACATAGCCGGTCTTCAAGCTCACTAATTCTTCTACTTGATCCACTTTGCTGTTGAGAGGCTTTGATGTATATTTCAGTTTGTCAACTGAATTTTTCAGTTCCAGAATTTTGGCTTGATGGTTTTGAATTATTTCAATCTCTTTGTTAATTTCTCATGATACAATTCTGATTCACTCTCCATGTTACCTTGCAGTTCTTGAGCTTCCTCAAGACAGCTATTTTGAATTCTCTGTCTGAAAGGTCACATATCTACATCACTCCAGGATTGGTAACTGGTACCTTATTTAGTTTGCTTGGTGAGGTCACATTTTTCTGGATGTTCTTGATGCTTGTAGACATTCACTGATGTCTCGGTATTTACAAGTTAGATATTTATTTCAGTCTTCACCCTTTGGGCTTCTTTGTGCCCATCCTTCTTGAGAAAGCTTTCCACATATTCAAAAAAGACATAAGTGTTACGATCGAAGCCTGAGGTCACTGCAGCTATATTAGCACTAGGGGGCGCCCTAAGCCCAGGAATGCTACAACTCTTGCCGACATGTTCACAGAGGCACCACCATGGTAGACTAATTTTTCGGTTCTTACGAAGGTGCTTTCTTGCATTGCTAGTTTATAATTTGGTGCTCCTGTGGGGAGTGGGACAATCACTGGAGGGTATATTCGGACATCTTGTTCTGCGCCCCCCTCTAGTTTTTAATAAAAGATGGTTTAAGGTATGATAAATTCATCAAAATTCCCCACAATAGTAAGTGTGAACAGAATGTTAACTCTTAAGACAAACATATATCTTGCCTTCAGACTAAGTTAGGTATAGCTTCCATGCTATGTTTTAGATAACCAGAAAAAAAGGAGCAAACAGTGCTTTAAAATACTAATAAATACTTAGAAGTACTGTTGCCCCTTGTTATAAGCGGTGACTGGTTTCAGGAACCCCTTGATATACCAAAATCTTCACATACTCAAGTCCCAAAGTTGGCTCTGCAGAATCCATGTAAATGAAAAGTTGGCTATCAGTATATGTGGGACCCACGAATCCAGTATTTTCAATTCATGTTTATTCCGTGAATAAGCAGACTGGCAGAGTTCAAACCCATGCTGTTCCAGGGCCAACTGTATTTCCAAATTCTTGGCCAGTATTTAGTTTTTGGCATTGTAGCATGAAGTTTCTAATACTTAATTCAATAGTCATAGATAAATCACTTGTTCACCCTTAATCAATAAAAATTCACTCGTATGTAATTTCAAAATTCTAACCCATGGTTCTTAGAGAGATGTCAAAGGTAGGCCAAAGAAGAGAAGGATAAATAATTCCTAAATTATTAGTTAGCCTTTTAACTCAGTGTCACCTTTTAATTGAGTATGTTTGGCTGTTTAGATTTTTTTTTTTTTTTTTTTTTTTTTTTTTTTTTTTTTTTTTTGAGACGGAGTCTCGCTCTGCCGCCCAAGCTGGAGCGCAGTGACGCAATCTAGGCTCACCGCAAGCTCCGCCTCCCGGGTTCACGCCATTCTCCTGCCTCAGCCTCCTAAGTAGCTGGGACCACAGGCGCCCGCCACCGCGCCCGGCTAATTTTTTTGTATTTTCAGTAGAGACAGGGTTTCACTGTGTTAGCCAGGATGGCCTCGATCTACTGACCTCGTGATCCTCCCGCCTCGGCCTCCCAAAGTGCTGGGATTACAGGCGTGAACCACTGCGCCCGGCCTAGATTATTTTTTAAAAATGGAATAGAACACTATGAATTCTTTAAATTCCTTCCAGTTAAGTATTGTAAGAATGTGGCCCAAAAGTATGTCAAGTGGCAAAGAAAGCTAACCTAAAATCTCTTACTCTTACCTTTGGGATTATTTGGGTCACGGTTCAAAATTGCATAACGAGGAAGTAAAATACCTTCAGCTTGAAGAATACTATATACTTCTCTCCTGAAGAAAAAGGAAAACATCCTTATTGTTTTATTGCTCCATTTCACAATGAATATATTATTGTAGTTTTCTTAAAAGACACTACTGTTCTACAAATAAAAAGGGTATATATATCAACCCTTTTTATTTTTTAAATAAACAAATGTCATTTCAAATATTGAAAAAAGGTATTCTGAGGAAATATTCAGCAATAAGAACAAAAATTTATGCACAATTCTTTTCTAGCTTATTAGGATACTAATTATTAAAACTGAGAACATAAATGTATTTTAAAAATGGCTGAATAAAGTTGATATATCACAGTGATAGAACATTACCTAAGCATTAAAAACCTTATGCTCAAATAGTATTTAATGACATGGAGAAATGTTCACAGTATACTAGAGAAAAGTGATTCTAATTTGGTAAAATGTGATTGTGTGTATGTATTGCTTTCTATAGAAAAAATATGATATAGTGACAAGATTAAATGGCTTTCAGTATGCTTTTACTTTTCAAACCTTTTAAAACATACATTTCTATAGCTATAGCTGTATATATATATAAATACATATGTATGAATTAATATGTAAATCTAGAGAAAATGTTTTAAATTTTAGATATTAATAATTGTTACTCTCTGGAAGAACAGAAAAAAATAGCAGAGTGAAAAAACCATAGGGTCTCATATTTACAAAGCATTTTCGTATATATAATCTCATATTGTAATGGTAACAATAGAAAATAGAATGCTGGTGAGATTATAATAGCTATAGGAGTGAAACATCGATTGAATGAAATACATAAATACACTCATATTTTATAATGTATTAGAAATCCATGCTTTTTACCTGTTCAATGAATGCTAAAATATATAGTATAATATTTTTCAAAATAGGTATACTTTACCATTTAAAAAATCTAGTTATAATGAGTAAAGTCCTAATTTCATCATCAGTCCCATGACAGAAAAAGTGCTCATAACTTTCAATGGTTTAGTAGGCTCTGGAAATTGTTAAACAATCTCGGTGAAGTCTGTCCTACTACTTGGGGAACTACTTGTGGCTTTGGCTAGATTAATCAATCTTCCTAATTATCAAGATTCCTCACCTGTAAAATTAGGTAATAAACAACTCTTTCTGAGTATTTTGAAAGTACAATGAATTAATAATGCAAAAACACCTGATGCCATGTCAGCATAGAGTAGGTACTAAATTAATGTTAATTTTCCTTCCCTTAATTCAGCCAACTTCACCACTCACCTATCTTGTATGAGATACTGCATATTCAAGTCATTGATTACAAATGGATTCCTGAGTTTTGCATAGGCAACCGCTTTGTCCAGTGGAAATCCTAAGAATACATATTATTAACATATTCTGTATAATCTCAAGATAAGCATCTATACTTTATTAATTTGAATTGATGCCACTTCCCATAAAAGATTAATTTCATTAACACATAACTGCCTTCTATAAAAGGTATGGAATAATATATACATAAACCTTGATTTAACTTATATATTAAATCTTATTTTTTCCTAATTGATTGTTAAGGCACAGCAAACCAGTGGTTATATAACCAAATTTGGAGCACTGACATGTGAGTCAAGGTCTGACTAGTCAGTCACCTGAAATAAGGTAAAATTCACCTCATACACCAAGAGAAATCTATATATAAATAGCATGGGTGTATCAGAATCACCTGGTGATTTTTAAAAAATATATTCAACATCTCTTCTTTTCTCTTAGATATTTTGATGCCTACACACATAAATTAGCCGATAACCAAAGAACGTATGTACCTTTAAAAACAGTGGGCCAGGAGTGGTGGTGCACGCCTGTAATCCCAGCACTTTGGGAGGCCAAGGCAGGTGGATCACCTGAGGTCAGGAGTTTGAGACCAGCCTGGCCAACATGGTGAAACCCCGTCTCTACTAAAATTACAAAAAATTAGCCAGGTGTGGTGGCGTGCACCTGTAATCCCAGATACTTGGGAGGCTGAAGCAGGAGAATCACTCGAACCCAGGACACGGAGGTTGCGGTGAGTGGAGATTGCGCCCTTGTACTCCAGCCTGGGCAACAGAGCAAGGCTCTGTCTCAAAAAAAAAAAAAAAAAGCTATACAAGCAAAAATTAATTCATATATGACATATATGCTCAAAATATATAAACAGAATCATGCTATTGCTCGGTCAACATTAAAATATTAGAAATTAACTCCCTAAAACTTCTAGACTGGTAAAAGTACTAATTACAATGAAAACAAATCAAATAGTAGATATAGTTAAGAACAGCTCCCCTCCCCCAAAATCTAAAAAAATCTTATGATTATATTTTATTCTCTATATTGGCACTAATGCCAGGTACAGTGGCTCTTGCCTCTCCCAGTACTTTGGGAGGCCGAGTTGGGAGGAGTGCTTGAGGCCAGGAATTCAACACCAGCCTGGGCAACATAGCAAGATCCCATTTCTACAAAAAATTCAAAAGAATCAGCTGAGGGTAGTGGCGCAACCTGTAGTTCTATCTATTCAGGAAGCTGAGGTGGGAGGATCACCTGAGCCCAAGAGTTTGAGATTACAGGGAGCTATGACTTTACCACTGTACTCCAGCCTGGTTGACAGAGCAAGACCCTGTCTCCAGGGGGAAAAAAAAATTGACAAAACGTTTCCAATTTTATCCATCAATACACATCATTAGTTGTATACCGTAACAGTTAAAGACATAAACCAGCATTCAAATCCTGGTTCCATCTTTCACTAGCTATGTGACCTTGGGCAAATTTATTTAACGTCTCTAAGCCTCTGGTACCAGCATAAAAGAGTATTATACCAGTCTTACCTAGTAGAGTTTTGAGGAATTAATAATAGTGTGGATATGAGGCACTAAGCACAGTACCTGACATAGTAAGGGCTCAATAAATGTTATTGTTATTATTCCTTAAGAGGTAATATTTTAATAAATATCTATGGAAAAGGATAAAAATCAGCAAGCATACATAACTTTAGTATTCAACTATATAATACTAAGTATACCTGTGAAGAGACTATATTTTACAGCACTACCAGGATAAAGAGAAAAAGTATTGAAACATGCTGAAAATAAAACAAAACAAAAAGCTGTGGCCAGTTAAACCAGATTTATTCCTAAACTCCTCTTAGTTTTCGAAATTTAAATACAGATACTTTATATCAAGAATCACTTAGCCACAAATTACAAATCCTGCAAGTTTTGTAAAGACTCTCAGAATTCATTGCTTGTAAAGATGTCTCGATGTCTATGATTTGAAGCCTCCTTATAGAATTTAGCAAATAGAAAACACCTACACCGTTTCCTGCTTTTGTTTTTGTTAAAGAGAAACTTTTTCCCTACCAAGAGATGGTATGTGGAATATGACATTAGCTATAGCACCTAGTTTTTACAGGCAAATATAGCATTAACAGGAAGAACCATCTGAGGGTAAGGGAAGAATGCTTTACTCTCAAGGAGGAAGAAATTTTAAGGTTCTCTAAAATAAGCAGCCTGAGTCTTTAAAGATCAGTGTCTTGACTTCTCTATGAAATAATGAACATCAATTTAGGCTATGGTAGCACAACCATGCTCCATCTTCTTCCTGCTGAAGTAAGACTTTAACATAGCTCAGGACAACATATTTTGGTAACAAGAGATGATTAAATATGAATACATTTACAACCGAGAGCACATCTTTTCAATTAATAGTTCTTAGTGGGAAATTCACTTAATTCACAGATTCTTAGGCTATGAATTTTCAGATGTACCCTCAGCAATAATTTGATTAGTGGACTTTACAATGACATAATACTTAAGCTGAATTGATATTTCAGTTTGATTAATAAAATATAGCAAGGAATATCTAAAAATCTCAAATTATTAAGTTCCTAAAAATGAAGTATGAATATGTATATGAAAAATGATAGATCTTGTTCTATACAGCATAGAAAGGGACTTAAAGTATTCAATAATTCAAGAACTTGTCCTAAGAAACTTACAGATGCAAACAAGAGCTCACACAACCTTATTTTTAATAGTGAAAACTGGAAACTGTCCAAATATTAGGATATTAGATAAATTTAAATATGTTATGGTATATCCACACAATGATATACTATGCCACTATTAAAAACCACATTATCTAAGAATGATATGGTGGGGGAAAAAAACTTCTTGATATAATAGTGAAAAAGGTTAAATATAAAATTATACATACACTATGACATTAAATTAAAAGAAAATACACAGAGAAGACATACACTGGAAAGAAATACATAAAAATGTTAATATCACCTGTCCATGAAAGTGTCTTAAAGTTTATTTTTGTTTTATCTCATAGTCTACAATTAATATGTATTAGTTTTATACTCAGAGAAGATAAAGGAGTTTCTCCCCCACTCCCCTTAATACCTTTAGAATGGAAAGAAATCAGACAATCACATA